CACTACTACCACTACCACAACCATTGCTATACTACTACTACTACTACTACCACCATTACTACTACTACTACTACTACTACTACCACCACTACCAATTCAGAATCTTCACTACAAGGTCAAATAAGCTGCCTTGACAGTAGATCACGCTTACTAAATGTATTATAGTATGTATAGCCGCTAGAAAACCGGACGGTGCATGCTAATGTACCGGTGTTAAAAAATGAAATAAGGCGTGGTGACCTTCAGTGTCATGCTGTCCATATCAATTTTGGAGAAAATAGGTCAACTGCATCAGAGAGAAACGTATTCAGTAGGTCCTAATGAGATCCAGATTGTCGGCTCGTGCTGTCCAGCAGCTAACAGATCAAACTTGCGCTTTACTGACGACCGGTTAAAGGCAAACCGCCTGTAGGGGTGTAGTGGGGCAGAGATGAAGGGAAGGACCTCATTGAGATGCCGGAGTACAGTCAGTGCATGTCTACCTGACAGCGTAAGTGCTTGCTTGGTGTGTGACTGAGACATCCGTGTTAAGTACAGCAATCAGGTGAGAACAACAAGCTCTGGGAAGAACTAATCGGCTACTTTCCTTTGATACGACACTGACCGCATAGAAAACGACTCTTCCAATAATTACATTTTGCCGCGGGCACCAATATTAGAGAGAATAAAACAATTCAGACTCATATGAGTGAGGGAGGTTTAAGGGTCAAATCTAACCAGTGTTCAAATGCAACATCGCATTTGTCTCGTTATCTGCCTATACTTTCTTATTCAATCGCACACATCAACAACACAGACAACATACATCAGCGAAAGTCAGCGCAAATATTTTGAAATTGGCATCTCCCCATTTTGTACTTCCGAACTCTTGTCATGAACAATATCAGATTGACGTTAAATGCGAACTTGTGAGGTGTAATTCAAAATTGGGTCTGAAAATGTGAGCGGTGAGAGGTCATTGTTACTTACTTACTTATGGAGCTGAGCCGTTATTGAGAAGCCGCCAGTTGTGCATTTTATGGAATCCGAAGGTTCATTGCCGTGTTCACAAGAACCCTCAACTTGGTCCCTATCCTGAGCCAGATCAATCCAACCCGTCCCATCCAATCTCTCTAAGATCCATTTTAATATTTTCTACCCACCTACGCCTTGGTCTTCCCAGTGGTATCTTTCCTTCTGGCTTTTTCATCAATATCCTCTATGCATTCCTCTTCTCCCCCATTCGTGCTACATGCCCTGTCCACCTCATCCTCCTTGGCTTGATCATTCTACTTATACTTGGAGAAGAGTACAGGTTGTGAAGGAGAGGTCGTTGCTAGTAGTGCAAACTGTAAAATGGTTCACTGTTTGTTGTGGAAGGTATGCAAACAGCAGTACGTAGTTACGCAGTGCGACAGATGATGACAAGTGTTTCATTGTTTCCCTCGCCACTCCGGGTCCGTTCCGCACCACGGTTATCGCCGTACAGCCTCTGCAGCTGGCATGGTACAGTTGTTAAACACGGTACAGAGGCTATTTACACCTAAGATGGCCGCGCTTAGTCGCTGGCTTCCGCCTCTCCTCTTTTCTTTTCCTTATACATTCCATAGCGCTATTTCTGCTCTTATTTTCTTCTATACCGACCGAGCGACCGCCGTTTGTCGGCGAAGTTAGTGCCAACTTTTGCGGCTAGAGGGTGTTGCGTGGTCAGCGCAACGGATCCCCACGGCCGTTAATCTCGGTTTTCTAGACCGGAGCCGCTACTTTTCCATTCAAGTAGTTCCTCAGTTATCCTCATGAAGCTGAGTGGACCCCGTTCCAAACCCATTACTTGTCGGAAAATATGGTAGCGCCGGGAATCGAACTCGGGACCTCTGGATCTGTAGCCAGGAACTCTGATCAACAGTAAATTAAGATACGCTTCAATCCTTCAGGTGGCGCAGTTTCGAAGAGATAGCTGTGAGTACGGTGTAAGCACGACATAACACGCACGAAGCCAGATGACACATGTACATGGTCATAAACCATGCTCTATTTATATGTATATAGTGTATAGCTAGTCGGACCAAAGGTCGCTATGTAAATCACAATGTCATGCACGAATCGTGACAATTTTAAAGTATGCATTAGGTAAACAGTTCGTGAGAGCGTGCCTGCTCAAGGCAGGTTCCAGTGACTGGTACTTGGGTTCGCAGTGCTGAAAATGCAATCAAGCAAAAATGAGGAGCTTCATAACTTGTACTCATCACACGTTCTTAGGTTGATCAAACAAGGGATTCGGGAAGATGCGCGGGGCATGTAGCACGCATGGGATCTCTGATGGAAAGAAAGACTCAGTGCAGAATATGACACCCCTCCCACACTGAGATGGCGACAGCTTCAGGCATATAAATTAACCCTTCTAACCCTTCCCCAAGGGCAAATTTCCCGTTTTTTTTTTGTTCAGCGTCCTCCCGTACACCCAAAAGAAAAGGAAATTGAGTAACTAAAACTGTTTATTTTTAGTAATATGAGGATTAGCGCTGTTACGGCATATTGAACACAGTAAACAGCCACACATGTTACAGGACTGGAATTACATGAAAATTCTACTTTTAAATGATTGTTGTCTTGGCGCCAGTAATTCTGTGTGCGACTGTGCTCTAGCTCAGTCAGCCATGTTGTGGCTAGGTCACACTCAATCGTTACGAACGACGGTGATCATTGCGCTCATAATAAGCAACCTTAAGAGCCGTGACGTCATCACGGGCGCCAATTGCAGCTGGAACAAAGAGTTGTGCCTAATATGGTAATGACGCTTTATATTGCTTGCTTGCAAACCAGATATAATAATTCTGCCCAGTTTCTGGACCTTATGGCCAAGAACGGCCTATGTCTTCCAAATGTTAAACATGAACGGTACAACTAGGGATTTTTCTCTACTCCACATTGTCCAGACCGGCCCTCGGGCCCACCCAGCCTTCTTTCCAATGAGGGTAAAAAGGCCGAGGCGTGAAGCTGACCGCTCACATCCATACAGTGCCGAGGTCGAGAATGGTGGAGCTAAACCTCCACTCCCTCATACGTCTTCATGATGGTGGTGGTGGTTTAATTGGATCAAGAATGGTGGAGCTATACCTTTGGTTTCTCGTAACAACTGTCGTCATATGTACGTTTAATGGTCATATGACGACGATGTACCAGTTCGTGAAGCTATTTACACCGAATGATATGACCTGTACGTTAAACCGTGTCAACATAAATGTGGAAATCATCAACATTTCTTGAGCACTGTCTCAGAATTTGTATATTTACGGTCACTCTCCTTTCGACCAACACTGGGTGCAATGCACGCCGTTACAGTAACACTCCTTACAGGCCGAGCCGTGGCTCAAGCAGTTAGTCGCTGGCTTCCCGATCCCGGGTCTGGTCAAGTGGGATTTGTGGTGGACAAAGTGACGCTGGGGCAGGTTTTCTCCGAGTACTTTGGGTTTCCCCTGCCTATCTTCATTCCACCAATTGATCCACATTCACCCTCACCTATCATCTGGAGCTGGTACAATAGGCCAGAAGTGGCCGCAGTACAAGGGATTTAGTCCCACGCCACTAGCAATAAAAAAAAAACCCTCCTTACAAGTGCGAGCCACTGAAAAAGGAGTTAGAAGGTAATGCATACAGCTGATTCGAGCCAGCGGGGCAAGGTTAAGATTTCAACGGCAGAAAGGCTTGCGCACGCCGAACTAGTAACTGTCTTAACGAAAGTGTACCGGTCGAGGTTCATTTCCCTGCAGGAACAATTAACCCTGTGTCCAGACAGTCTTGGGCCCTTTCTAGCCCCCTACGGGAATCACCGACTCTTTGCCCCGCAGTAAAGAGATGGGAGCTTGAATCTGGTCATTTACCATCATCTAGTGTTTAGAATGAGCAGGGCTTTGTCTACATTCTACATATATGCATTTATCATGGTTTTTAACGTACTGACAAGCTTATGAGTGAGTGACTACAGATGGGATATGGATTAGATATTGGATTTACTGATCGTTTGTATGCACAACTCGCAACTTCAAGTAATTACAGCTCCATTGCCAATCTCCACAATTCACAGTTCACCTCAGCATCCGCTATGCCCTTTCCCAGTCTGCTGTCTCTTCAACAGCCGTTAACTAGGAGCGGGTTCTAACAGTGTAAATTTTTCAGCTTCTGTACTCACGTCCTTATTGTTCGTCGAATATCACGCAACTGAACTCAATCAGCCGAAGTTAAAGTCAAAGTTACTTTACGACTGGCGATTTACCGCCGATCAGTTCGTCATGGCGTCACGACCAGAGATTTTTCTTTCAACTGAACTCTTGCGGTAATAGTCCTTATGTAACATCCTCTCTGACGAGAAGATGGGGTTTGTCTCCTATGAATACGCTTGGCCTTTCGTCAAGCGTACATTTCGCACATATAGCGTGTTATTGGAAAGTCTTACTTTTGCACGACACACAAGTCCTCTGTCAGTACAGGCTCTACAGAGAAGGTCATGCTTATGTCACGTATCTTGTACTACAACGGTAGCTTAGTTACGTGAATAGTCATAAGTTTGACCACCGCCAAGTTTAGGCTCCTTATATTTTCTGTGTCTGCCTTCACCTTGTCCCCTACCACGAACACGTTCATTCTCATGATTTTGTATGACTTCTGTTTGTCACCTCGCTATATAGCCTCGGGACGGACCAAACAGAAAACACCGCCCCCAGCAGTCCCTCTATTGTTTTTATGGGCGGTTGCCTAGCGATAGCTCGGATATCGTTCACGTGTTTACCATCCGTTACCAAGCATCGCATGTTTTTCTCGCGATCGTTGCGTAGCAACGGTACTACATGCTACAGTATCTTACGTCTTTTCTCTTTTGTCTTTCAGACGTCAGTCCAGCCAACTGTCCGGAGGAGGAAACACTCCCAGTCCAGGACCTCCGAGTGCCCCAATTTCAGGTAGGTGTGATTGAATCATAATTATTTAGGGACGCTGAATCAGCTGCAGCGGTTGTGTGGCGTAGAATAATTTGGTGGACGTGGGTCGGTTTGTTATTCGGAGGAAGCCTCCCGTTGTTCGTCCACGGACTGAGGTAAATCACAAAAAACAAGAGTGGCCTTATTTTATTCCTCTGTTTTTCATCCTTTGTTTTCGTTCTTATTTTCTCTCAATTTCCTATATGTTTACCTCTTTCTCTTTCTTATTTCATGCTTTTCTCCCCAATTCGTTTGTCTGTCTCCTGCGTTCTTTCCGATCTCGTCTGTTTTCTTCTATATTTATCATCATCTCTCCTATTTCTTTTCCTTGTCCATTCTGCTAGTCTTTTTCTTTGTCTCCCCGTCTTGACTTCTTTCCATCTTACCTTCCTATCTCTTTGTGTGTCTTTCTGTTCTTCTTTCTGCTTTCGTCTTCTTCAATCCTTATCTCTCGTTTCTTTCTTAATTTCTCCCTGCTTGCTAGCGCTCCAACCCCAAACTACGGGCCCATACGCGCTAGTAGAAGACCGATATTTTGTTGCGATTTCGAGGTTTTCTCGCCGGAAGGACCATCGGAAACAGATACAGAAGCAAGCATGAAAGGACATGAGTGCAGGTGTGAATGGAACACGGCACAAATGGCTCTCTAGCTAATTGCTTGAATATGCAGACCAAAACATAACCTGGATTAAACGGAAACTAGTCTCTGTCGAAACAATTATTTCGTTAAGTAAGAAAAAACAGGACAGACGGAAGATGGCAAGAGAGAAAGAAATTAAATAACAGATAAATAATTAAATCTAATAATGTATTGTGGCGTGCCGCCAGAGAGCCATAATGGTTGAGGAGATCAGAATTGACCAGCGTTCCCGCTGCAACGCCTTGGAATCCGAACGCTAGCAAACCTAAGCAACGAATTGTTCGAGACACTTGCTTGACAACGGCTAGGAAAACTCGTAGCAACGAGAGAATACGCTAGCTAGCTAGCTAGAATTTATATAACGTCAGTTCTGCCAGCTCTTTCTGTGGGCATGAAACTTGGACATTAAATAAAAGAATTCAAGGGACTTACCATAAAATATAAAACGAAAAGCTGTAAAAGCAGCCAAGACATTTCGGATGAACTAAAAACTGGATCCTCATTGGCCAACATGTTCTAGAAGTGGATCCTCATTGGCCAACATGTTCTAGAAGTGGATCCTCATTGGCCAACATGTTCTAGAAGTGGATCCTCATTGGCCAACATGTTCTAGAAGTGGATCCTCATTGGCCAACATGTTCTAGAAGTGGATCCTCATTGGCCAACATGTTCTAGAAGTGGATTTGCCACGTTGAAGATTGCCCACAGACCGACACCCCAAACGAAGAGCTACAGACCACAAAAATAACGTGGTTATTGGCGCGGAAGAAGCCAAAAAGGGGCAAAGAGACCGCCAAACGCCTTGGTTGCTGAAGATGATGAAGACTAGATTGTCTGTTAGGGGCACATATGTATTTCCCCACTGAATAAAGGATATGGACATTTGATATAAATGGAATTTCAGGCATCGCTGTAAGTCTCCGTCAGCATGTGCTGAGACCGCAGTGTCAGCTGTCCAGACTGCTGAGCATGAACATTCGAGCATGAGGCACATGAGAGGTGTAAGTAAAAGTAAGTAAAGCTATCCCAGTACCAGGCCGTGAAGGCCCATAGGGTTGTGAGACGCTGAGGGTCCCGCATTATCTAGACAATCGGCTCATAGATGGCGCCGGCCACGCTTTACTTCCCAGGAAAATTATTTAATTAATTCCTGGTACTCATTTCTGTTAGAGGCTGAGTCGACCCCAGGAAGGATTAGGTCAATTGAATAAATCCAATGATCTCATCGGGACTTTAATCCGAGACCTTCCGGCTTGTAGCATAGTCCCTCAACCAACAACGCTACCGCGTGCTCCCAGATGAGAGGTGTAGTCCTTAAAATTAGAATGCAGAGGCGACCTGGCACACAGTTCCAGATATAATGAAAAGGGCATGAATCATGACATGTGCCAGTTCTGGCTCTTATTTCACGGTAGCTTCGGCCATTTATATGCAGAATTTAACGATGAACTGGTCACGGAAACCTCCAGTTGCATGAATTTGAAAGCTAAAATAAATATGAGTTAATTATTCCTGGTATAAGAATTTAATACGAAATTAAGGAAGAGTTCCGTCTTCTGGGATGTGGCGCCGTGTAGATATTATGTAAACCGACGTTTCGGAGGAACATATCGCCTCCATCTTCAGGGTATAAAATTTTTATTTTATTTAGCGGCATATAACGTTAGTAGAAAATATCATCTTCATTACGTTACTTTCTTGATATTTACACCAGCAATAGGCCGAATAACACAACATTTGAAGTGTTTTCACTGTCATAGGTCAAAAAATGTGGATTGTAATTTACAGTGGCAATAGGTTTAGAGGCGCTTAACAGCGTTGTTATCCGCGGGATTGAATATCTGGGCGTTACAATTTACACTGCTGATGGGTACATAATGGGGAGGTTTAAGATGTGTACTCTCACTAAATATCAGGGCTCTCAAATCAAAAGAGGGTGAGCAGGGGATGGGAAAGTAGATAAATATTGTGACATATTACAGTACGTCCATCGCTGCGAAACGGCTAGAACGGGAACACATACTTCCGCGACAACGAATACGTACTTGAGTGTGTAAAAGTGAGCGTTCAATAAATATTCGCTAAATCCGAGACCAACGTGAAGTTATTTGTCGCGCTGCATGGGCAACATGCGACAATATTTACAAAATTTGTCAGAAAACGTGGAGGTAAGAGATCACTTGGAAGATCTACGTATAGATGAAAAAATATTAAAATTGATCTTTTTTTTATTGCTAGTGGAGTTGGACTAAGTCTCTTGTACTGTGGCCAGTACCAGCCCCAAATGATAGGTGAGGGTGATTGTGAAGCAATTGGTGGAATGAAAATTGGCAGGGGAAACCGAAGTACTCGGAGAAAACCTGCCCCAGTGCCACTTTGTCTACCACAAATCACACTTGACCAGACCCGGGATCTTAATAAGATAAGATTTGAGGATGTGTACTGGATTCATTTGGTTCAGAATTGGAGCCAATGGTGGGCTTTTGTCAAGACGGTAATGAGTCTTCGGTTTCCATAAAATACGGGAAAATTTTTTTGACTATGCGTCTAATATACGACTTTGCTTCTCTTCCACGGCTGTGAATAGAGCAAGATTTGTAGCACTTCAATGTACGCATCGGTTTAGCATCCGAATCTTTTATTTCGAGGAGTACCAGCTCTTGGTGTCTCCGGTACCAAGTTGACAGCTTTCACCGACTGCTCACAGTACGGTCTTAACAACTCATTCACATTCGTAAGGTAGAGATATGGGCCGGTCACGGTAGCCGAGCGGCCTAAGGCATGTACTGTCTTCGCTCGCTCGGAAGCCGGGATCGTGGGTTCGGATCTGTTTCCTGTGAGGTACGAACTGAATTCTTATATATTATTCTTATACACTGCCGGTCACGGTAGCCGAGCGGTCTAAGGCATGCACTGTCTTCGCTCGCTTGGAAACCGGGATCGTGGGTTCGGATCTGTTTCCTGTGAGGTACGAACTGAATTCTTATATATTATTCTTATACACTGCCGGTCACGGTAGCCGAGCGGTCTAAGGCATGCACTGTCTTCGCTCGCTTGGAAACCGGGATCGTGGGTTCGAATCCCACTCAGGGCATGGATGTTTGTGTACAGGTAGAGGCCTTGCGACGAGCTGATCACCCGCCCAAGGAGTTCTACCGAATGTGTAAGATCTAGAAAAACCGACGTGAACGGAGAAGTTCATGGAGGTAGGCCTAGGCCCACTGGGGCTCTAGTGCCAAGGGGGGGGGGAAGGTAGAGATATAGATGTCCCTATGCTTGCATAATTAAGCACCATGCCACAGACTTATAGGTTGTGAAGGTATAGCCTAACTCCGCCTTTCTTGATTTCGGCACAGGAAGGAAGTGAATGGTAAGCTTCACGCCCTTGTCGCCTAACCCCCGGGGGAAACAACCTCCGGTACTTTTGGATGGGAGGCCGGGTGCGCTCCAGACCCCGTTCGGACGCTGTGGGGAAGAGAAATGTCTCTTACACCTGCCGGCAAACGAACCTCAACTCCTCGGCCATCCATCACGTAGACCGTCACTATACCGACTGAGCTATCCGGCCTCCACTGGTCGATAATTTTTTTCTTAAAATAAAAGATACGAGGGTGAATTTTACAAGGCCTAAACTGTGGATTACTTAATAGAATTCATAAGAGACAAATCCATCTTCTCGTCAGAGAGGGTGTTACATAAGGACTATTACCGCAAAGAGTTCTGTTTGGTTAAAAAAATCTCTGGTCGTGGGTCTCAAGGGGGCTGACGCTAAGACGAACTGATTGGCGGTAAATCGCCAGTCGTAAAGTAACACTGACTTAACTGTGAGAGTTCAGTTCAGTTGTGGGATATTCACCGGACAGTAACGATATGAGCACAAAAGCTAAAGAATCTCAATTGTTAAGATCCGTTACCAGGAAACGACAAGTGAAAGCAGATTGTGAAGAATTCGCGTGTGCTCTTGTGATTTCTAAAGCAACCAATAAATTGAGTGACCAATCCAAACCCCCCTCTATAGTCACATTCTAATACGTGACAATAGGACATACTCTTGGGAATGAACCTATGATGCCTATTTGGTAGGAAACTGAGTGAGCCTCAGGACTGGTCTGTATTCTGTGCAGATAGGAAACATCTATCCGACTCCCCAGTTGTCCAGCCCCTAGCCTAGTCGCTGAACTGACTGATGTATCCAGCACCCAACTTGTTTTCATACAAAAGTTGCCCCTGTGCTTGACTAATTAAGTACTATGCCATGAAGGCATATGGGGGAGTGGATGTAGAGATCCACATTTTCTTGACCTCGTAACTAGCTGGAGGTGAGTGATCAACTTCACACCCCGGCCCCTTTACCTCCGGTGAAAGAGCCCTTGATACCCACCGGATAGGAGGCTGGGTGGGCCCCAGAGCCGGTCTGGACACTGTGGAGGAGAGAAAATTCTTAACCCTACTGGGACTTGAACTCCAACCCTTTGGTCATTCACCCTGTAGCCAGTTGCTATACCGACTGAGCTACCCTGGCTCTTATTGCCTTCACACATCTTAAATAAATTTCATACACATTATTACCAACCACAGGACATTTTAACCTCTTTAACAGACTCATGGGTATTAGAGCACTGCGTGAAACAAATGCTGACAGCTTCCTATTTATCATAAAATTCCACTCTAAAATGAAAGGATGTGATAGCACAATTTTTCTACTCTTTATTGTAGTGAGGTTTATATCTATATCTATATCTATCTATCTATCTATCTATCTATCTATCTATCTATCTATCTATCTATCTATCTATCTATCTATCTATCTATCTATCTATCTATCTATCTATCTATCTATCTATCTATCTATCTATCTATCTATCTATCTATCTATCTATCTATCTATCTATCTATCTATCTATCTATCTATCTATCTATCTATCTATCTATCTATCTATATATATACACATATATATATATCTATATATATATGTATACACACACACCATTGTATTAAACCAGAGGCCTACATGGTAGTGAAACAGTAGTGGTCATGCATTGTTTTATGGATTACACTGTATATGTCTATTAGTTGCCACCTGACAGACAGGACAGAAAGATTTTATATTATAAATGAAGAGTAAAACCAATTAAACTTGTAAAATGACAACGAACACATTTTGAAAATGCATGTTCTGAGATTGGAATATGCCTACAGTTGTCTTCCTTTGTGATTTCTTGTAAATGATGCCCTTTCAGTACATAATGTAGAGGATTTAATGTTACAGGAAATGGAGTGACAGAGAATAGTAACTCAGCACCGTCATTTCCAGCACCTCCCCCACCACCACCTCCAGCCCCTGGCCCCTTACCTACAGTACGACTTAGCACAGAGGTACGTTTGAAATTTTGTACAAAGTTTGTTCATTTGTTTCTTCTTCAGACCTGAAAACCATGTGTAAAAACCTCTTGCAAAACAGAGCAGATATTCTGCTGCTGTTCTATGTAGGTGAGTCAATAAGTACTTTTTTTATTGCTAGTAGGGTGGGACTAAGTCCCTTGTACTGCGGCCACTTCTGGCCTACTGTACCAGCCCCAGACGATAGGTGAGGGTGATTGTGGAGCAATTGGTGGAATGAAGATTGGCAGGGGAAACCTAAGTACTCGGAGAAAACCTGCCCCAGCGCCACTTTGTCCACCACAAATCCCACTTGACCAGACCCGGGATTGAACCCGGGCCGCCGCGATGGGTAGCCAGTGACTAACCACTAGAGATATGGTGTGGCCTCAGAGTAAGTTATAGAGTACTACATGTTGAATGAGGCACTTGAGGCTATCACCACTAGATGGCAGCATTAGTCTGGTGGTAATTTATGACATTCGACACGAGATAATTGATGTTTACAAAAGCGAAACAGCAGTTGCAAGATGGCAGCACCTTTGAGTGAGTGTACAACCCTCGACCAGCACTCCGTTTTGCCATTTTTGTGGGCAAAAGGTAAGGAATCAAAGAATATTAAAAAAGAAATGCTTCCCACCTACGGTGAGAAGTGCCTGCCATGTCAAGCTGTTTGCAATTGGGTGCAGAAGTTCTCTGAAGAGTGGACATGTATCGAAGATGAAACCGTGTAGGCCGGCCAACAGAGTTTGTCACAGAGGTGAATGTGTAACGGGTTCAAGACTTAATCCGAGCAGACAGAAGGGTATATATACACTATAGCCACTGCTATTGGTTGTTCACATGGCATGGCCTACCACATAATGCATGACAGGTTAGGTTTTCACGAAGTCTGTGCACGATGGGTGCCACGCATGCTGACCCCACAACACAAAATGCAAAGAATGGGTCTGGCATTACAGCATCTCAGTTGCTACCATGATGAAGGACACGATATGCTAGCCTGAATCGTCACAGGTGATGAGTCTTGGGTTCACCATTACCAGCCCGAGACAGAGTGTGCATCGATGCAGTGGAAACATCCTGCGTCGCCTGCCAAAAGAAAGTTTAAGGTGACACCATCCTCCAGGAAAGTGATGCTCACAGTCTTCTGGGATCATGAAGGGATACTGCTCACTGCATTCCAGCCTCACTGATAAACCATAAATGCTGACTACTACTGTAACTTCAATGGAAGTGACCAGGACTCCTCACCAAAGGCGTCTTGCTCTTACATGACAACGTGCATCTCCATACTGCCAACAAGACAAATGAGGCGCTGCGAAATTTCAAGTGGGAAGTCCTCGAGCATCCTCCGTATAGCCCCAACCTTGCTCCAAGCAACTTCCATTTGTTTGGCCCTCTTAAACATCATCTTTCGGCTGAACATTTTCCCGACAATGAAGCTGTAGAAAGGGAATTCACCACCTGGTTCTGACAACAGCCCAAAGAATTTTATGCTGCTGGTTTTCAGGGGCTTGTAAAACGCTGGGACAAGTGCCTCAATGTACAGGGAGATTATGTTGAGAAATGAAAGCACTTTTCAAATCAGTACTCTTATTTGTTTAAGTTCTATATCCGTTTGTAACTTACTTATTGACTTATTGACTCATTCTTTTTTGATCTGATCTGTATGAAATTCTTATAAGCTCACCAAGCATTATTAAGAAAGTAACATTTATAAAAATGGGATGGGCGAGGAATATAGTATGCATGAAAGCAGTGCTGAACATATAAATTATTGTGGCCAGAAAACTCATGAAAAGATGTAACTAAACAGACATACACTTAGCTGTGGGTTAGTACTGTATTATGCCTGGATTGGATCCTCACATTTGTGTAACTGTGAAATGGACAGACCAATTTCACGTTTTTGTAGTGAATCGTGACACGCTGTAATGGGGAGTTCCTTAAAGAGTCAAATGACTGCAGGCTGCTCCCTATTTTGTGTGTTATTTAATAGAGCTGTGTCAAATATAGAGGTTATACAGCATGGAATGACAGATGATATGAATGGTGAATTGACACAAGTATGGAAACATGCAAGATGTCTTTGGAGGTAGATCTGCTATTCCAGTATTTGCCTGGAGAAATTGTTGAAAATTATAAAAACTTCAGTCAGGAGAGTTGAGTTTGGGTTGATATTAGAAGCAGGAATGAGAGCAACTACACCAACATAAATAGGAGGATAATATTAAAGCAGACTTAGGGGAAGCAGTTTGTACAAATCGGAACAGGACTGGATTGGTTTTGTCTAGAGTCATTTGGTGTGATTTTATGAAATATGTGATGAACCTGGGGTTCCACAACATTAAGGAAGTTCTTGATCTGTAGATAGTTGAAGACTTGTTGATTTTGGTGTACTCTGTTGAAAATAACAGCGACATTGTTTCCAGATCCCTGACACAAGGGGAGGCGCAGGGTATGAACCTCCAGCTGCAATACAGAATGCAATGATGACCAAGGACAAGAAGCCATTCACGTACACCCCTGGAGGGCTGGACCTGTCACAGATTCGGAGTCCCCGAATGCAGCGACGAATCACAAGGAATGCAAATGCTGAGGGTGTTGGTGACCAGCCACAGGTAGGTTGTGATCCTAACTTATCTCATCTCATGCTCAATTTCTGATCTTTTAAATTCCCAGCATCCTACCTCTTCGACAAAAGATTTCTTTTTGTCTTTTTAAGGATTTTGTCAAACAATTATTAATATTGATTCTTCCTTACGTAAACAGGTTCAGTGCCAAAATATGCACCGAATACATTATATGTGAAAGTACAGAAAAATAAAATCAGTTGTATCAAAACATATGAAAGAAATTTCGCTGAGACTAAAACATATGTCCCTACAATATGTTCACATATTAAGAAAACTGGTACAGAATCCATACAAATGTGTAAAACTTTTTTTTTTAATTCGCTTATTGGGGGGTGCAGTCCAACTGGGTCCACTTGGCACGGTGGCCACTGATTGGCCTATTGTAGCCTGCCCCGGGTGATTATGATGATGGAGAATTTGGTGGAATGAAGATCGGCAGGGGAAACTGAAGTACTCGGAGAAAACTCGCCCCAGCGCCACTTTTTCGACCACAAATCCCACTTGACCAGACCCGGGATCGAACCCGGGATCGAACCCGGGCCGCCACGATGGGAAGCCAGGCGACTAACTGCTTGGGCTATGGTGCGGCCCATACAAATGTGTAGCTTAGATATTTTATTTTTCATCCCTTAAAAATTATTTATTACTGAGGACCCTGTGCCATGGAAGTGGCTTCAAAACGAGTTGAAAAACAATTTGAAAATAATGCAAATAGCAGCTAATAGAATATTTTTTCAATACCGCCATTTTCTTTTCCAGCCTGCAGGCCCCAAGACGTCTTCATTGGCACAAACTTTGCCACAAGGCCCCCTCCCACCTTCAGCCCTCGCTGCCATGCAACCACAGATGCCAGTCCCTGTATTCCCAACAGCTGGTGTTCAGTTGCACCCTACTCTTGCACCACCCCCGCCACCACCTCCTCCTGGCCCTGCCACTGTAGAACCTCCACCAAACCCTGTCATCAGGCCAGTACAGAGCCCCGAGTCCCTGAAACCAAAAGCCCAACCAGTATCACCACCTGTCCAAGTTCAGAATGAGCCTGGAAGTATCTATGTTCCCCCAGTGACAAGCAGAGCACAGGTGGGCTCCTTGTACATCCCTCCCATCAACAACAACACCTCGCAGCAGGAGCCAGTGGTGACGTCACCACAACGGCAGCAGACGGCAGCATCTCCTCTGCCCGCCCTGAACAAAGCACCAACACCTTGGATGAGTCAACATCAGCGGAATCAACAGCAACAGCAACAGCAACAGCAACAGCATCGTTGTGTCCCATCCTGGGTGACCCGGGAAGAACCCCAACCCCAGCACTCTGCAGGAACCACTCATATAATTCCTATACAAGTATGTGGTTTGAACCCTTGCAGGGAGCAGAGATTATTGTTATCTGGCATATGGACTCACCCAGCCTCCTGTACAATGAGTACCAATGGATATTTTCCCTGACAGTATGAAGCTGACCACTCAGATCTGTCTAGTCTGTCAAGAATGTTTTAACCCTGTCATTTCTGTGTATCTCTTACATGAGGTACATGAAAGGTATAACGGGGAGGTCTCTTTCATCTGTCTTCTAATCTGCAAAATTTATCTCAAATGCTATTTGATATTGCAGATCTATAAATAAAATCTTATGCTCCATATCACTCCTTTATCTTTACTTCTCACGAAGTTCAAATTAAATTGTATTTCTGTACAACATCAAATATATTTCCCATCAGAGCCTATGCTAGTGATGATTACCTATACTGTACATTGTCATCTTCTTCTGTATGGATTAAATTATCTCATTCCAATTCAGAATTAATGCTTGTCTGATTAACGCAAATCTGTAATATAATTATCTGGTAGTTCTCCTTGGATGGGGGAACTGGTACACTGCAAAGCCTGTACCTACACGGGATAACACAAGACCACAGGAAACATGGACATATATTTGTGCCCTCAGTGGGATTATAACACACGATCCCAGCATTTAAAGTGTGCAAGACTGTGCATGCCCTAGATCTGATGGCCATTGGAATAAATTGTTTATTATTTAATTTAAGGGGAAAAAATATGGTAATGAATAATCTTATAACTTATATATTTATTTTTATGGATTACAGGACCTCATTGAGGATCTTGTTATTATTCCTTGGCAACTGCTTCTCTGTATGCCTTGATATATCTGAGAAATAGAAACTTGGACTATATGAGATGTGCATTATCTTGCAGGTGGAGGGACGAAATGAACCTGTCCAGGCACCGCAACAGCCCCAGCCACAGCCCCAACAACAAGGTGCTGTTAATCAACCCCATACAAGGATAATTCCAATCCAAATTGAGGGCTCCCCAACTGTGATGAACAACACATCGAACCAAGCCAAGCAACAGATGCCAGCTCAACAACAGAAAAAACCTGTCTATGTCCATAACAAATTCAACCCTCCAACATCTCCACAAACACCAGTGTCACCATCTCCAGTCTCCCACAATCACAGTGACAAGTGAGTTCCATATCTCCAAAGTAAATAGATTTTTGAAATTTTCTTACACAAAGAAGAATGGAAATATACAGTTCAAAATGAAGTACATATACACAATCCCTGTCTTGATTTTCTGTTTATCAACTTTACTTGTGGTCTATTTATAAAATACGATTATCGGTTTATGACACTGGCTTAACTGTGGACCAACATGGCTAAAAATCAGTATTGCCTCACAAATTTCAATGGAAGTTCCCCATATCAGACTAAAAAAATCTGTCAAACGGTTTAGGTGCTATGACTAGGTCACAGATAGATTGCCAGATTAACAGACATGACTGTCAAGCTTATGCAAGGATGCTTCAATATAAAAAAATCTTATTTTAGTTATCTTGACATTTGGAAAATGTGTTGGGTAAAAAATGTATGCTTCATTTTTCTCTACAAATAAATTTTAATCCAATAAAAATTTAAGGAGTTATGAATTTGCTACATGCAGAAATGTATGTAAATCTGTACACAAAATGTTATACTTTTGTACAGTTTTAGCCAAAATTGAAATTGCCTGGCAGCATTTAATGGCAGTCTTCCTTAATGAATTTAAAAAAAGTGTGTACAACTGTTCAATTGCTGACACTAGGTCACAGACATATGAGATGTGATTTTTAATTTAGTAGAAAATGCATAATAATTTATTTGAAATGACAAAGAAAGCCAAAAATATTTCCAATGATATTGTTAAAGATGAAAATTACAACCTCCCTGCACAAGCATGTGGGCAGACCCACACTCTCTCAGTGAGAATTGAATTGTGAGTACCAGTCCCATATTATGCTTCATCTTTCAGCATTGTTTTGGGCCATCACAATAGTGATTTCCCCTTCATTCAATTTTCAAATCACTTTCATGAATGCCATGGATATCAGTGTGACCAGGGCTGCTGGTTTTTAAATATTCTATCTGCTATTTTAGTGATGAACTGTAACTCTCACTACAGAAAAATACATACTGTCCATTATGTAAAACAGACAAAAATAACAAATTCAGAAATGTTATCTTTCAGTAAATATTTTTCAGGCTATAATCCAAGTAGAGACATTCTAGCCTGGGGAAAAGTTATAGAATTATTTGTTGTGAAAGCTTAAAGCTTATATTATTATTATTATTATTATTATTGTTGTTGTTGTTGTTGTTGCATTTCCAGTCAATCAGAACAGAACTCAAGGCAGTATCAGCACCAGCAGAGCTGGGGACCTTCTGGAGGCAATGGTGGCCCCACTCAGTCCCGGTCTTTCCGAGTTCTTCAAAAAATAACCGACACAGACAACAGCGAAGGCAAGTTAGACTGACATATCAGGCTTTTGCAGTTGAAATCAAATAGCAAAGGCTTGATTATAACCGTTGGCTTCATACAGATATTTTAATGACTATAAATCCACAATTATGAGCTGGGATAGAGTTAGCAATATAGTGACTGGCTACAGGCTGGACGACCAAGGAGTTGGAGCTTGAGTCCTGGTAGGGTCAAGAATTTTCTCTTCTCCACGTCATCTAGACCGGCTCTGTGGTCCACCCAACCTCGTATCCAATGGATAATGGGGTCTCTTTCCTGGTGGTAAAGTGGCCTGGGCATGAAGCTGACTACTCACCTCCAGCTAGTGCTGAGGTCAAAAAAATGTGGATCTAAACATCCACTTCCCCATACGCCTTCATGGCATAGTGCTTATTTAGTTAAGCACAAAGATAAATCCACAATTAATTAAAGTTCTGAGAAGTGACCAATAGGTACTGACCAACAGACTGTGATCATCTGGGTTTGCGAAATTTCATGGGTTTGTGGGCAGATACTGGCCTTTCAGAGAAATGTACTACCTCCTTCTTCTGGGTTGAAATGTGTATGTTCAGAAAGTTACAGGAAGGGTGGTCATGAGACCAAAGGAGAAGGGAGTGAGGAAAGGAATCAGGCACAGCCAATTATTAAGAAATGGACAAAAATAGAAACAAATACAGCCTTGTAAAGGAACACTCATTCATTGTCACAGGTGGGAAGTGGAATAGTTATGTAGAATTCTATTTTCTGAAGGAAAATGGAAATGTGCTAAGAATTGACAAAAGAAAAGAAGACCGCAATCAGCAATCTCAACAATCTATGCCATGAAGATGTCAAAACATATACAAGTAGTCAATTTATGCTACTTTATTTTTGTACACACAATGCTGCCATTTAGAGTGAAATAATGAATTGAGAGTAAACTTATCCATCCATCCACCCACCCACCCACGACCACAGTCTTAATATTCACGGTCATGACAGCTTCAAATCACAATTTCTTTTCTTTCTTCCAAGGATTTTTAAGTGGTGCTACAAACAACTTCTGACCTGTAAATATTTTTTCTGATTCCTACTGTGTTGTCTATGTGAACAGGTGATACAGATGCCCCACTTCAGGAGTATGGTCCCCCAAACAGTGGAGGAGGTCAGTATAACAGCCAAGGGGTGCCGTTACAACAGCTGCGAAAGTTACAGCTCAGTGAGGATGATCGGGCACTCATGAACAAGTTCAAGGCTCAAGGTGAGACTTACAGATCGGTTACCAGAAGTCTATCCTGTGACCATCAACACAGAACTGGCAGACATGGTTCTAAAGTGATATGTCTTTTAGAGATCTTATGATCTGCCTGCTGAATTACCAATGTAGCATACCTGCATTAATTCTTGCCTCTAATCTGGTGTGATTTACATAAAATTAAAACACGTTTGAAAAAAATATACGGCGTGTAATCAACAGGCATGTACACTGAAGTAATTGTAAAATATGTGCTAATATCCATACTCATCAAATGAAAATGTAGCTAGCATGACAAGTGAACCAAACTGAATTTATCTGGGAGTGGGGACAACCTCCAGTATACAGACCAGTGCTGGGTCCGTTGTGCAATCCATGAATATTGTTTGCAGTCTTTAAAGAGCCCTTTTTTTTTATTGTTAGTGGGGTGGGACTAAGTCCCTTGTACTGTGGCCACTTCTGGCCTATTGTACGAGCCCCAGATGATAGGTGAGGGTGATTGTGGAGCAATTGGTGGAATGAAGATTGGCAGGGGAAACTGAAGTACTCAGAGAAAACCTGCTACAGCGCCACTTTGTCCACCACAAATCCACTTGACCAGACCCGGGATCGAACCTGGGCCGCCGCAGTGGGAAGCCAGCGACTAACTGCTTGAGCTATGGTGCGGCCTTTAAAGAGCCTTGGTCTCAAGCATTATGTTGGTGCCAGAACTTTCTAGGCTGACACCGTCTTGATAACCATTGGCGCTAATCATGCAGAGATTCTGTGCCCAAATGGAGTTGGGTATTGGCAAAGTGGCCTCTCTCTTTCATTACTGACAGCCATACTTACAGCCCCTACTGCTGGTCCCAGCTTGACTTCCAATTGAGCACTGATCTTCCTTGGGAAATGCATTATATTACTGCAGATTTGAAGCCACTCAAAAGAGTAGATAAAGAGAGGCTACAAAATTTTCCAAAATAAAACACTTATGGTCTGGAATACTGAACTGTTTCTCACACATCTTACAGCGGGTTCAGTTAAACTGAACGAAAGAATGTGAGTGCCCATGAAAAGCCATGCAGTGCTTTGCTACCCACTTTTGTGATTGTTCCTTGTTTGATTCAGTTTCAGAGGAGAGTCCAACAAATGAGGAGAAGAATCCACGTTACAGAGGTGGCCATATACCATCTCGCGTATTCCGGATGCTGGACGAGAGTGGTACAGATTCAGTTTTATGTAACAGTGATGGATATTCTTTTTGCAGCAAAGGTGCCTGAGGTGGTGGTTATCCTGGAGCACACTGTGTATTGCATGTTATGGTGTTCTTCAAGTCAGCATCTCTGGGTGGATAAAGTTGGAGAAGAGTGAAAGTACAACTTATAATCTCAATGTGCTCTAAACAGTTTAAACCACCTTCTGAAACATGTATAAAATCGCTCCCTCCAGACACTTCTTCAAAAATGTGATGTCTTGGATTTCTGCCTCATCTCCATTTATAAAATATTTTGGCTGTATTTATAAGTAGAAGCAATATATCCTTTATAGATATTTTTTTCTACCTTTACAATAAAGAAACTGTAATGTCCGTGTCCTCGAAGCCTGAACTATACTGAAGGCAAGTTTGCTGGCGTCTATCTATTTTACAATTTGTAATACTACAGCCATAAGGTTTTGTCTCCAGCATTACACTTGAATGAATGAATGTATGAGGGGTAGGCCTTCTCGGCCCTTGCACCACGATCTACAGTGGTCTATTGTGCTTCCCCTTGGTCGTCAACTTATGACCTATGCGACTTATGACTTATGCCCCCCCCCAAAAAAAGATGATTAAAATGTAAAAGTTTTTAAAAATAAATTATAAAGATGCTAAAGGATTAGAATGGCTAAAAAATTCTGTTAATAAATATATGGCCGATATACGACCAGATCGACTTATGACCTGTCAATCAGAATGGAAGTCGGTCGTAAGTCGACAACCAAGTGTATTAGGAAACAGAATATATCTTCATTGCATTCAGTTTCCAAAATTTCAGCACAAATTCCAGAATGAGTCTGCTTCTACTTTTTATGTCAGCATCCACTGAACCAGCGCATTTAGCGTCTCTTTTACTTAGATCTTGAGTTGAACTTTGTGACAGGCGCTCTTGCTCATTCTTCACTCATCTGCCAATATTGAAACAATGATACACCGATTTTCTTTCAAAAGTTGATGTACACAATCTAAGTTTTCAGTGAAGAATGGAAAGCTGGCTCAACCTGGCATCATCCTTAAATATATTTTTCTTCATAAAACCAGCTCTAGCACTCAAATATATGCATGAATATCACAATCCTACATCATCATATGCAAGTCCACTGACATAAGGAAATGAGGCATAGGTTTAAACACATCAGATGGCATTCTCTCCCAGGAGCAGGAATAAATCAGTCTTCACTTGCACAGAGATCGGGAAAGTCATGTAGTTCATTACAATGTACATTAAATCAGTTGATAACTTACAGCATATTCATCCATCACTAATCTGTCATATGACAGGTCCTCAGTCTCTTCCAAAACAGTTCCTCCACTTAATGCGATCTAGAGCTTTCTCCTTCAAATAAAAATATCCTCTTCTGTCCGCAAAGTCATCCAGCATCTTCTTACATCTTTTTCCTCGTCTTCTGGTCGCATACATGGTATCTCTATTTTTGGAAAGAGACTATCCAGGAAAAGTGATAACGTGGTAGTTTTTCCATTTGCTTTCCACATCGCAGTACAACAGCCGTTCAACCCACTCTGGTCACGCCCGTTGCTATACGAACTTGAACCATCTCGAGCATCTTTTGCTCTGTGCTTCAAGTCGCTGCTGATGACGCTGTTTCTGGCATTAACTGATGCCGGAAGCAGACTGTGGATTTTTAAAAGTATCTTCTCTTAAACTTTGTGGCCATAGACTGAAAATGATATTATCTTTGGGTTCAGAAATGACAAGGCCCAGAGTACTTCTAGTTATATTTCCGTTACACTCATTATTGTTTAAAGACACTGATCCTGCAGAATGTGCAGGTAATAACAGAAAACAAACATAAACCAATTGTAGGGCCGTTTTGGGTTGAATATGGCTAACCAGTGATATTAAGAGAGATGGAAAGCTGTTTAGAGCCTTTTATGGGACTAGAGGCATTTGAAACTTGGCCACTGCTTCTATTCATGCCCAGCTTGATGCTGTGATCAAATTCTACAGATCATATTTTTCTTTTCATTTCTGATGTATCTTGACATTCATCTGTAATTGTACCCAACTGTACTGCAATGACAGACTTCTCTTCCACTTGGTGTGTTCCAGGAAACTTCAGAAGATATCATCTTGAATGGAATAGTAATTTATTACTTACAAGTAATTTTATTTCCACTTTGCACATTTCCATCACTTCCTGTGGTTATTAATATGAATGTTGGTGTATGTGTTATCTACTTCCTCCTTAGTGGATGAAGACAGTTTCCTTCACACTGAGTCGGACCCTAGGTACAGGGGTGCTGCGATACCTTCAAGAGCTTTTCGCATGTTGCAGAACATGACAGATGGCAGTGCAGACAACAGTGAGCAGGGTATGACTGCTTCTGTGTGACATGTGTGGTCCATTGTGTGACTTTGTTAACACCCATTTTCTTTCGCTTAACCAGTATCCAAACATGGCGCTAATATAACTGAAATATACAAAATACAACAGCAGCTGTCTGTTGATAACTATTATGATGTGCCCTCTGGGTTCTAGAAGCCCAAAGATACAGTTATCAAATAACCTCAGGAAAGCAACTTATGCACCAACCTTTAAACAAAATTATAATTTTGTTTCTTTCATGCATATGTAACAATTAATTCTTCATTTTGAAGGAAGAACATCATAAGACTACAATAATTCTTTTTATTACATATTATTCATTCTGAATGACTGGGTTTTTGGACTTCATCCATCAGTATTCTAAAAAACTAAAGAACATAATGTGTAGGAAATGGATCTGTGTCCATCCTTAAGTGATGTTGGGGGGGAGGGGGGGAGACACCTACTCTGTTGGATCCCTTAGAAAGATCAAATCTCACTAAATTGACAACTTGGGCTCGTACTTTCTAGCAATACCCCTGTTTGTCTGTGTGGCTGACTATTTTGTTGGCTAATTTGCTATTTCATATCTATGTGAAAATGATTATTTTTTATGTGGCACACACCATAATTGCATTTACAATTCTGGGTAAAGATGTTCAATGATATATTTATTTGTTTTTAACCAGTAATTTCCAGTTCATGGTTCATACACCATGAGTGGGCCAAGAATTGTTCCATATATTCCAAAATATACAAATATTCAAATTTTGTAATTGCAGTGTCTTTGAAGACAATTTGTTGCCGAGAAGGCATAACATAATAGCATGTCTTTTATCAAACTAACCCTCATTATTATCATCATAACCACCATGAGTCAGTCAGTCAGTCAGTCAGTTGTGGCAGTGGCAGTGGCGGTGGCGGTGGTGGTGGTGATGATAGTAGCAGCAGCAGCAGCAGTAGTAGTAGTAGTAGTAGTAGTAGTAGTAGTAGTAGTAGAGTAGTAGTAGTAGCAGTGGTGGTGGTGGTGGTAGTAGTAGTAGCAGTAGTAGTAGCAGTAATAATTTCGAATTTGGCATTGAAGTACCACACAACTGGTACTCAAATGTGCCTAAGTCAGTATGTGAACATGAGGATATGAGGATATAACGGTGTTATGGAACCAAGGCGTACAGACAGAGAGGTTCTGGCAAACAGGCCAGACATAATAATTAAAAACAAGCAAAAGAAAACTTGCATACTTATAGATGTATCAGTACCATCGGACAGGAATGTAGTACAAAAAGAAGCAGAGAAGAAATTAAAATATAAAAATTTAAGCATCGAAGTTCAGTGAATGTGGAACATGAAATGTTTTGTGATACAAGTAATTATTGGAGCCACGGGTACAGTCACGAGAGGGTTGAGAAAATATTTGGAACTAATTCCTGGTAAGCACTCCATAGATTCACTGCAAAAAACAGCTATCCTGGGAACATCACGCATACTACGGAAAGTGCTACAGTGCGAAGCTTGAAGCCTGAGTGGTGAGGTGCATCACTGGTTCAAGAAAAGGAATACCAGGAAATAAACCTGTGACAAGAGATGATGATNCCATAATTTAAATTTAGTTTGTGAATATAATATTTTGCAAGCTATGATTAGTCACATGAACACAAAACAGAGGTTTAAATGTTAATAATAATGACTGTAAACTAATTTCTATTATACAGAGTGCTCATTTTATCGGGAGGTTTGCTGCAATGGACCATTTGGTGCATGAATCTTGTTGTCACTGCTGTATTTTCCATCTTGACTTTACAGGATGTGCAATCTTTACCACATTCATTATATTGTAAGAAACTATGTGACAAGTAAGCTACTTTCCAGATTACTATAAACTTCAATGCCTGGTACTTTGGAAACAGCAGCAAATATCTCTGATAATTTATATACTTTTTCAGGAAATGTGTAAATGAAGTTCTTATGTTTTGAAAGGGGGAAAGAAATCTGTTGTTTTAGGGATAGTTGCTGGAAATTCTGGATGTCTTATATTTGTTATGGTTAGTTATCTCTGAATATCATTTTCCTTGCAGTACCCAGGGGCCCAGCAGTGGTACGTGACCCTCAATCAAGACCCGTTTCTGTCCACCAGACACCTTCAGGTAGGATAAATTTGACAGAAAATGGCGAAACTTTGTCATATACAATAATAGCCAGTGCCTAGTGTATTCCTTGTAGTATGCAGGGGACCAACAATTGCCATAGTTCTCAAGCAAGATCTCTCTATCTCCAGAACACACTTTCATTCAGAGCTTCACCAGAAAAATGGTGAAACTAATTTTGTCACACATCATAATAGCTAATATCTTGTTATTTCCTTGAAGTACTCAGGGGAGGCAATACGTTAAAATTTGCCTCCTTCCATATCGTTATCTGTTCATTACTCATGAGGGCATTTTCCAACTTATTCAGTTCAATATACTGCACGTAATTAAAACACAATCTAAGAATTAATAAGAATCAAGAGATAATTAACCTCGGTACTAGATGAAAATGAATGATCAGGTCCATGTTCCAGGAATGTGTATCCCTCAGAAAGCATTCCCATTGCCTAATGGTCTCACAGGCTTTATGACTGTGTTTAAATGTCCACCCCCTGGTTTTTCTGCCCATAGTTTCTCACCTTGCTGAGTTAATACTACATCCATTCTTTCCATTTGAAAATTATTGAAAGTTCATTTGTGTAAACATGGAGTTGAGGTTGATAATGAAAATGCTTTCAGAAGATGGAACACCCCAGGTGTATATTCCTCCTTCTGAGCAGCAGGTGCCAGAACCCAGGAAGTACACAGGTGGAGCAATTCCATCCCGTTCCTTCAGGATGTTGCAAGCAATGACAGCACCTGAGAATTGTGGTAAGTCCACTTAACTTTCTGATTTCACTCTCATAGCTAGAAATTAGTCCTTTCCATTTCATGGTACATAAAAGGTTATAGCAGAAACTTGATTATTATTTTTGAAGTTTGATTTTATATGCACAGGAAATAAAGAAACGCGAATGTACTCTGCATCAGCATAATGACAACCAGTGTCAGCTGAAAATGGGAGATTTAATATTTGTTCCTTGAACTCTAATTTTTGATACACATATTTTCCTAATATGGTCTTTGCAACTTTGCATACCTTGCTGGCCCTAGTGTTTACTACAGATAAAATCTACTGTTCTAAAATTGATTGCACTTCACATAACACCCTTTAACAGTCAAACATTATGAAATTATGAAATTTAGATATGATTTGAAACTTTCATGGCTATGGTAAACAATGAATTCTTCACAGCAATTGGCTGTGTCAATGTGCATTTTGTGTCTAACATTTCAGAGATTGCCTGTGTCTCCATGATGTAGTGAATGTTGTTTTCACATTATATATTTACACACAGAGTTGCTGTCTGTCCCAACCCAGACCGCATGATGAACAGGGCACAGAGTCAGATAATCAGTGATGTCCAGATTCAGTATGGCTTGCATGGGTGACAGTCAGTCATGAGAATCCATATTGTTTGATTTGAGATTCTTATATTGATGACTGTGAAGAGTACAGTCTTCTGGGCTATAACATGTGCAGTTCAGTTTGGTGTACTGACAGTTTAGAGGAACATAGTGCCTCTTCTTCAAGGTCAAAAAATAAGCTAAGCAAGAGACCAACAATAAGGAGGTGGCAAGCAGAATTAAGCTTGCTTGTTTTATTCTTTGACCCTGAAAATACAGCCAATATTGTTCCTTTAAAATATCAGCAGAATCTACTGATCCCCACAGCATCACAAGCCAGAAAATCAAGCTCATCAGAATCCATACTGACTATTGCTGATCCTTCCTTATGATGTTATTTAATTTCTTTTGTCTCTTTTATCATGTTCATGGCCTGCCACCATGAACAGCTTAAATGGAATCCTATATCACTGTTAAAGTTATAAGGGTGCAGTCAATTCCCATCTTCCTTAAGTGGTCCATGCAGTCTGCTGTTCCTTCCAGTATTGTGATGTTCTTGAATCTTATTCAGTAATCTGCCTCAGTGATGTGTTCCACAAAGACCAACTCATCTGGTTGATATAGTTGCACATGCCATGTATCTTCATTTTACCTCATTCTGATGGCACACAACATGCATGTCTAACATTCATGCAGGATACAGTACACTTGGGACTCTAATGCAAAATACATATTTCACTGGTCCAAAAAACTGGTAATTTTTTCTATGGGATTTATGTAATTTTTTATGTTAAATCTTTCCAGAAATCTGCTGATCTAATTGACTTAACAAAAAACACAAAGTATCAGGTGAAAGTTGCTTTTGTCATGAAGATGGTGGCAGCATGCTCCCTTGAAACGCTGGTAACCACATATGTGACTATACGTCCACAATGCACCTCGCTCAAATCTGAGAAGTATCTGATTCACAGGAACTAGCTTTCCTAATTCAGATGTTCAAGGTGGCTGAGGAAACAATCCCTCAATGCATGCTGGTTGTGGCTGTTTTCTCCATAATCCTTTCCAGTGTGCCATACACTGAATAACCTTTGAGGCAGCATGACTAAATAGCCCACAGATTATCAGTTGGATTCATTCATTCATTCATTATTGGAGGGGGTGGGTTTCCCCATGCACCGCGACCAGTTGTTGATCTATTGTACGTCCCCCTTTAATATTCTACCAGTCGCCATACCCTTCCGGTACTGGTGCTCGCTATCAGCCCCATTCAGCCAGCGAGTTCGGCCCCTCTACTGGCAGTGGTATCTGATACTTCCCCCGTCTACCGGAGGCATTGGAAACTACTTGGGCGGGAAACTTTTTACCTAATTTTGCTCAGAGTTCTCCTAGAGACATGAGGATCTTTTACGTGCCGTAAATCTATGACACGGGACCCACGGCTTAAAGTCCCTCCCAGAGGACTTGTTCCCTGAATTTTTCCGCCCTTAAAAATTCCACGACCTCTGCTGGGTTTGAACCTGCGTACCTTGAGTCATGAGGTGGGAATGTTACATCTAGACTATGGAGGCCGCTTTATCAGTAGGATGCTTTTATCCAAAATATCAACTGTCCCATATTTTATCAAATAATGAAAATATTCTAAATGAGGATGTACAATCAAGTTTCTACTATGACGCTGTACCAGGAGGGTGCCAAAGGGAATGCATTATCTGATAGTCACTATAGTGGTCGATGTTACATTATTCCTGCTTGATTCTGTGGTACTTTTTCACTAGACAGTCAGTTTTCTCTACTTTTTGAAGGTGCATTTGCTCTGTGTTAACCAGGAGTTTTGATGGCTGGTACACTCTCATCACTATTTTGTATTCATGTTAAGTATGACTGGTATGCATTGCTTCGTGTTGTAATGATCACACATTCATTTTAACACATGACATACTGAGTGGAACGATTTGAATACAATGTGTAACAGAAGACATTCGATGCAGATTATATTATTCAATCATACGATATAAATACAAATTATAAAAGGAGTTTTGTTACATCACTTGCAATTTTTTGTGTTTCTTCAGTGAAATCTTAGTACACTGCCTCTTAGTGTTTATTACTGGTGAAGGATGAGTAATCATATCCTGGGGATGAAAATGTGATCTCCAACTTCCTAGTGCTCAAAAATATTATCTACATTACATAGAATAAGGAATAAGAATATTTATGTTCAATACAATATCCAGCATCCTGGCAAGACAGGAAACCTAAAAACCAAATGCAATTAAATGAAGTAAAAGTTGGCAATTAGTAGTTATAATTGATCTCTCCACTGTTCTTTTTAATATTATCTGTTATAGCAACAGTTTCATCGTCAGATGGGCGTGAAACCCCTGCCTCACTCTCTCACCAAGACTATGATTGGAATAATAGTGGTCAATGGGCTCATTATGACCCTGGTTACTGGGGCCCTGAGGCATGGTGGGGCTGTTATCCTCCTCCCACCCCTGACATTCTTGAGAACAGAGAGCAGTACTGGGCTCCATACTCAGCAATGTATGCTTACATGGCTGAAATGAATGCTGCCTACGGGTTTGCACCAATTCCTTACCCTTCCATGTATTCCTCTCATAATTTTGCCTTTCCTAGGCCTGTAAGATACCGACGTGGAAATAACAGTGACACAGATGAAGGTTCGGGGTATTCGTCTACAGATGAGATGGCTTATTTCGGAGCTAATTCTGTTCGTGGAACTGTTCCTATGATGAACAGTCAGGGTGGTACCCCAATGTCAGTACACCGCATGCCACCACCACCACCACCAGCCATGCCGAGCACTGTAGTTCCTCAGACATCAAACAGTAATGGGTCACTAGGGAAGGTCAATTCTTATGGCTCCAAGAGCTCTGAGAAATCAGATAACACTATTAATAAAGATGTAAAAGTAGAACTGATAAATTCACTGAAGCATGAGACAAGTGTTCCTCGATCCCCAAGTTCTGTTGATTTGGATGCCTATGAGACTGCAGAATCAGATAAATGTTCCGATGATGAAGAGGCCACTACTGACTCCGACACTGAAGTAGAAGAGGATAAAGATAATAAAGATGGGTTAGGTTCAGGACAGCTGCAAGCTATTTGCTCTGTGTCAGATAACGTCTATGTGAATGAGCTGGGTTCTGATGAGGAAACTGATGATGATGATGATGATGGTGATCAAGAGAAGGAGCATTGCGTGGAGGGAGAGGAGTGCATTCCTCATCAGCTGAGCATCATATATGAAGAGAGTGAACAAAGTGATGCTGAGAGTGTGCTTCGATCTGGTAGGGCTACTGGCAGGTGCCCTACCAGAACTAGTAGCAGCCTCACTACCAGTGAGGATGGGGACAGCTCCACGACGCTAGACAATGGTGACGATGAGAGTGACGGTGATTTTGATGTTCTTGATGGCGAATCTTCCACAGTAACTGTGCGTCTGCCACTTAAACTGAAATTTAGTCGTTCTGAAAATGATGAAGAAGTGACCACTGTTATTGTGGGGGATAGCCAGGTGAAGCGACAAGAAACTGTGGACACTGCAACTCCTCCATTTACTGAAGAGGATGAACATGTGAAGAAAAGGGACAAGGAACCAATACAGGAAGAAAAAGAAGCTATAAAGGAGAAAGAGGAAGGAGGAGGTTGCACTGATATTTCAGTAACTCTTTGCTTTCCTAAAAAAGCAGATTTGAGTGAGAGAGTTGAAGAATGGAGACGAGATATGAGCCAATATGCTGGAAAGAATTTGATTAATACGAACAATGATAATGTAATAACATGCACAAATTCGCCTACCAAATCAGGTAAAGATACCGGGAAATTGGGACCCAAAATGGTAGGTGATGCTCCACAACAAACAACTTTGGATGAAGCAGATGTTTACGAGACAGCAGAGTCTGACTCAGATGTGTCTGTATGTCTGTCACTGCCCCTAAGGAAGCGGTCACAGAGAGGATTTGGCTTTGAGAGTATTAGTAATATATCAGAGGAAGAAGACGAGGAAGTTGGGAAAGCTTCCAGCCACTGTGAGGATGACTCTAGTAGCACTACTAGTATCCAAACAGTTCGACTAACATCAGGATCACGAGGAAGGTCAAGTGGAAGTGAAATAGAGACTCCAGCCACTGATGAAGGAGATGAAAGTTCTGTAAACAAGTTAGTCGGCTCAACTGAAAATTGTCAGACAGAAATAAGTACCCCAGAATGTGCTCTAGAGAATAATATGAAAAGCACTGGGGCACAGGATCAAAGTACGGAGAGTGAGAGTGATGATGATGAAGATGATGATGATGATGAGGAGGAGGAGGAGGAGAGCTCAGAAAGTGGCAATACCACCACAAGGAGAAGCTGTATCAACAGTAAAGAAGTCAACTCTAAGAGAGGCAGGAAGAACTTTTTGACCTCGCTGCTTAATGAAGATATGACCACTGAAAAGGAGATGGATAATGAAGATGGTGACAGTGAAAAATCAGATAACAGCCAAAATGAAAAAGAGCATGACATCATTCAAAAGATCTATGATCTGTGCACAGAGCCAGAGAAGGTATTTCTGAAAGACATTAAGCAAAGACATGCTGTTACAAGCAAGGGAAAAGATGTGGGATTTAATAAAGAGCAGAGTGATGCAGATACAACACAGAAATTAATAAGAAATGAAAAGGAGCAGCAGACTTCCAAGCCGCAAGAAGAGAGCGAGGAGGATGACTCTGGTGTCACCTCTGACATGAGCCGCCCCATTTCTGATGCTGACACCGAATCAGAGGCTGGCCGAGGTGAACAAGGTCACCTGATGAAATGTCAGCGTGCGTCCACACATTCAAGGCTCTTCAAGTTGCTACAGGACGAATGTGGGAAGAGCGACGATGAGGAAGAGGAGGGTGCTGCCATGAAGTCTCGGCGGGAGAACCTAACTCTGCCCCTCTGCAATACCAATGTCAGTGACCCTGACAGCTTGTCCTCATCATCTGGGGTGGCATCACCTGCCTCCCCCACAGTGACAGATCGATTAGTTAAAGAGCTTGTGCAGAGTTTGCTGCAGAGGAAGAAAGGGCGGCGCTTGAAGAAGCTGCCCCTTGCCAAGTTGCATGCTGCTGCTCTTAGGATATTGCAGGAAGATATGGACCCATATGATACTGGAAGTTCTGAAGACAGTTCTGGTAACCATGCCTACCTCATGCCTACACAGACACAAGGCTCTCATCATTCCAAGAACACTGCCAACTACCCCATGCCACCACAGGAGGTGATGTATGGGGATAAATACTATGACTACTGTGATTACTACGATTCCTGGGCCAATGCAGCCTCCTATTATGGCAATGATGCTTGCAGTGGATTTGAGTATGACATCGTGCCATCCAGGGCATTTAAGCTGCTCTCAGAGCATGCTCAACCTGGAGGATTTAGCTCTGGCATCATCAATGGCCTGTGGGCAAAGTGTCCAAGGATACCGAGTTCCAAAAATGTGCCAAAATATTTGACAGATGATACTGATAAGACTGACCCTGGCTCCCCTTCCTACCCTGCACCTCCCTCTCAATCAGCCCCAGCCTCTGCTCGAGCCACGTGATGAGTGAGGCACAGAGAGAGCGAGTGAGAGAGAGATTACACGCACGTTCCTCCCACACACGTTCGATTGAACGGTTCTCTGGAGAGATGTTTTTGATAGACATATGAGATGTCTGTAGAAGGTCAAATCCAGGAGGTAACAACCCTCTAGTTCTTCTACTGTATTTTTTTGGGTTATTCACCGTTTTGTGATTTGAATTTGATTAGCTAATGTACTTAAGTCATACGGTAGTTGATGATTTTACATTGGTATCTTTATTATTTTTTCTTATTTTTGTACTTCGCATCTCTTATATTCATAATTTTTTGAAAATATCACTAAACAATTGGACTATATATTGTCTCTATGGAGTAAACTCCACCTTTGCAAAACTTGTGAAAGCCAAGACATAAACAAAACACAGAACATATAAACAATGTTGAATTTTAATATGATAGCTCAATACTGAATGGTTTGCACCACATACATGCTAATGTGACTAAAATTTCTACTGTTTGCTGTGTTTACATGATTCAAGTCAGTAACTGATGCTGCTTAAATGTGACTGTAGATCTAATCTGGGATTTTAAAATGTTATATTACTTCTTAACAAACCAGACCCAGGCTACTAAAACATTATTAGCAGCTGAAAAGTTATGGACAAACAAAACAAATGCATTGATTGGTAACAGAACCTTGCATCTAGCATTTTCTATTCACACTCACTAAAATAATATGATTAACCATTTTAATTATCAGTCATTGTGATTAAGTTTATAATTTTTCTCTGACACTTTTACAGACTGCTATAGAAAGGTGCAGTTTGCTTCAAAGAGATTTTTTCGCTGAGAATTTTTATCTTTTTTGTCTAACTATTCTTGTTATGTCTTGGATGAATGAGGTTTTTCATCATCTTAATATGTATGTCACAGTTATTTTTAAATAACAAATGTTTTTTGGGGGGATTGATTAGCATGATCAGCTTAATTAAAGATGTACATGGTGTACTTATATATAATTTAGAACAGCTCATACTTTCATCTTATTATAATCTTAATTAAATAGGCGAGTTTTGTTTCTGTGACATGAATTGTGAATAATAATTTATATGGATGCATTAAATAATTTTAGTTCTGCAGGAGATTGGATTCTACTGTTCAGGTCTGTGCATATTCACTGATATTTTTGACATTAATTTTTGTATTTATTTTTGATTTTTCACTTTAAAATTTGTAAAGTACACCCTGAACTTCTCACTGCTCTACCTGGATTGACTGTATACCGCAAGGGAAGCTAGAATTAACATTGCCAGGAACCGCTACTACATGTGTGTGCATGCAAATGTGTGTTTGTGTTTATGCATGTTCTGTTTCTTCATATAGTATGTATGTATGTATGTATGTGTGGTTGTACTTAACAGACAGATCCAATGTTGCGCATGTTTTTGGATTCTTCATATATTAGGATTTTAAATGAACTTGAAGTGTCTTTAGATACTTGTACATACTTTGTTTCATTAGTCATAGGAAATTAATTTAAAACATTGGATCAACTGAGCTTTCAAATCCTGTATCCATATACAGCTGCAATTCTGTTAAATTTTTAATGTAAATAGTAAAAAGGCACTTTGACTCTTATGTGGGAGTTAAGCTGCAAGAAACAAGCACCGAATTATTTGTAGTTATTACTAAATTCTGGTCCTGAAATGAAAGAATATGACTTCATTCATGATGTATGTGTGTTTTATTTCCTGCCATGATGTTAATGCTTGTGAATATCAAAAAGATTACTTAATATATTAAACTGTACAGGGTTGCCTAGTGAAAAAATAGTGTTGGGCATAGACAAAGTTATATATTATATTACATAATGTATCCCACCAGTAACCACAAAGAAACGATGGAAGGAAAGGGTAAAATAAATTGTTTTATAAGAAACTGGATCTACTTGAAGCATGTTGCCTTCCGTTTTCGTTTTGTATGGTATTAATGCATATATTCATGAACTGCAGCTTGAATTTCACTAATTAACATAAATTACATATCACTGATTTGCTATCATCAAATGATACACAAAATACCTATTATATGACTACTAAAAGGTTACATTTGTAACATGTTAAGACAACTATAAATTAGTTTCATATCAAATTTGAAATCAAATAATATGTGATGAAATTTTCAAGAATATTGTCAGGTGTATTAGTGACTTAGACGTGGGTTTGGATTGATGAACCGGTTTATTGGATCTTCACTAGTCATAACTGCAATTGGTTCTCACACTCTCAAGATTACTGTAACTATAGCACATGTAACATCATACACTGTGTCTTCTAATTATTCTTCTAACCACACTACTGTTCCCTTGGAACTTCGGAACTCAAGTGAAGTCAATTCCCATTCCCGTATTCTCTCATAACTTCTTGGCACGGACCACGCACAGAAAGCACAGTTTTATAATTCGCAGTGCAGATCACACAGAAAACCAGTCATGTGATAACTATCTCACCAGTCCAGCAATGAGGTATAAGCATTTGTCCTATTATTTTGTGTGACCTTAAGCGTGAAGGGGTTTACACTGCCGTTGCCTAACTATATACATTACAATATATATATATATATAGCTCAAATACAGAACTTGATATGATTAATATAATTCTTGAAAGAACAATGTGAAAGGATTTAAACATACAGAGATGAACAGAGTATAATTAATTAAAGACTGATGATCAGCTGATCGCATGCAATTAATCACAAATTAAATGAAACAAAACATTATTCTTTTAGAGAGAGAAATAGATTTTAATCTCTGGGGGAGTAACCATTCCAGCTACAAACTTCATGAAGTGTTGTATAAATTTATGTTACTGCGAAAAATTATTCAAAAGGCTGTATGGACATTCTCTAAACTAATTTTGTCATGTAACATATGTGACCCACAGTGACTTTTGATGGCAAACAGCTGAAGGCTGTTTATAATTTTAAATACATATTCCACTGCAACAGAACAGAATATCTGGTGCACGTGACATGTGTTTGTTGATAGTATTATCTCCATGTAAATATTGTCTTCATACCCCTCTCATGTCATCAGCGGACAACTAGTTCAGGTCATTATTAATTTATTGTTTATATCAAAATTTATAGTGGTCTCATTCCCATACCGCATAAATATTTGTGTCTAAAGTATGGGGATTTCATTCATTTCTGCAAAAGATTTACCGAAAGCTGAAAAAGGAGGAAAAGAAAAAAAAATAAAAATTTCAAAGCATATTCATACTTTCAGGGTTTTAGAAAAGTCATTATTGCTTATAAACTGATTTATTCCTGATTTCATGGGTCTGAATTTTTTTATTTCATTTCATTTTTTGCAGTGATTGAGTTTTCACAATGAAAAATCACCTCATGGCAGTACACTTACACAGTCATTCCTGCTGCTATGTAAAACTGTTATATGTTTTAGGTCCAGGACAGTCAGATATGTGAAGATGATGTAAGACAAAACTCCGCTACATCATGTGTGAACAAAGGATGGAACAAAATGGCCACTGAATCTGAAGATGATGGTGTGTCATCTGTCACTAGTTGCTAACACACAAACACAGTTGGTGTACTTCTATCTGTAAATGTTGTGCTACATGACCCCGTGCTTCACAATAGGGCTCCTTTGAATGCTCCTTAGCATTTTACTAACACATATACTTTAAACTGCGATCTCTTTCACAGAGAAAATGACGTGTAATTTTAAATATTTTTGAGGATGTTTTTATTGGTTTTTGGAAACATTTTTTTGTGTTCATAAAAATCAGTCACTATCTTGAACACTACCGCTTGTGTGAACTCATGATGTAGATTACAGTTCAGGGCATGATACTTTGCATCTGACAAATAATATTTTTGTTGTAAATGTAGATTATGTTAATGTGCCTTTCATTTACTAATATCATGCTATGAATGTTAATGAATCACTTTCCCACTGTTACCTTAAATATGGCTATAACTTCAACGTTCTGTATAATTTTTAGTGATTTAATTCTGATGCTGCCAAGCCTAGTGTTACAGGCTATACAAGAATAGATTTTAAAGGGTTCTGACAATGGTGTATAACACTCAGAAATACTGAGGTTTTGGACTTTGTGATTGAGGTTAGCTCTTTCCAAGGAACTCAACAGAATAGGTGTCTCCCCATCACCTGAGGATGGAAATAGATCTAATTGTGTTCTCTAGTGTTTAGAATACCTGACAATGGACAAAGTAAAAAAATTATGTAATTCTGAGTATACAAGTATGGTCAGGCTTTTCTGTAGGGATCAAAATGCTGAAAGAAAAATATTTTTTTGCATGACTATGCGGTCTGAATTGTACACAACAGAAAACCAACCTGTTAAGTGTCAGACAGGGATTACCCCTACAGTTCACTTGGTTTATTGGCAGGGAAATGGTTAATTCATCATCAAGATTAAAAAATAATATATTGGCACCATGAACACAATCTTTAAATGGATGTCAGAAATAAAAACTCTGTAAAAAGAAATCTTATGTAGATTTATAACAGAAAATGTCCCATAGATATAATAACTTAAGGCTGTTCATACTATGACACATTATTTTTTTCCTAACTACAGCTATGACTGTAACAGGTGGGCTAGGAGTCTTTCTTTCAGAAAAAGCTTGTTGTATGATTTTGTTTACATCATATGTATATAACAACATTACGTATCTTGCCAAAAGGCTTATAAAGCAGATAGTAATATATTTTTCTGCACCATAATTATGCTTTAGCTCTGAATCATTTCAGTTTCAGTCATTTCAACTCTTTTTTTCTTATGGTAAAACTGTTCAACCTTGCACACAGACAGCTGTAATTGTTTTAACTTCCTAAAGTAAGTAAAATGTGTCTTAGATAATTTGAGATAAAAATGCAGGATTTCAGGGTTGAAGTGCTGAATGGAAGTCTAAATTATAACACTCAAGTGAATGTTGGCTAATAAACTTTTATACTAACAGTGAAAGGCTTCAGTAACTTTCAAAGTTTGTAATTTTAACAGTTCTGCAATATTTTTTTTTAACAATTTTAATCATTCACGTTTACAATGTAAGTGAACTGAAAAGTGTACTTTTAGAAATAGCAATTTAAAGAGACATTTTATGTCTGAATGCAGTATTTTGAGTTACATTATTTAAAATGTTATTGCAATTTGAACTCTGCAGTCACTTGAATGTAAAATATGTTCAGTATCTGTATTTTTTGGATTGTTCTGTTTAGAGGTCTGAACCACTTTAATAGTTTACACATTAGATAGACCAGTGAGACCTATGTGCCAACATTGTTACCATAACTGCTCATGTAAGGTGTTCACCAACAAAAGTTAATTGACGACTGGTCTGAACAGAACCAATGGTGTTAGCAGACTTCACAATTTATTTCAAATATTTCAAATGCTTAATATGATTTACAGACTTGAAGATAAGTCAACAATGTCAGATGTATCATGTTTGGTATCTAGTGATCCAAATGCAACCTAAGAAATGTACGAGTACATTCTGGAGGAGAATCTTCCCTCCACAAAATTTTAATTCATGTGTTACTTGCATGAAAAAATAAATATGTTTGTGTTATCTCACCTGTAGGTAGGTATGATCTTTAAGTAACAATGGAAATATGGTTGGCTAAATCAGCGATTTTACAATGACTTGTGTACTAGCTTAGAACTCTGAGCAAGTACTTAAGTCGGCTGGGGAAAAAATGGTTATAAGGTAATATTTTGTTGAAACTGGAAACCTGCTATTTTACGTTCAGCCAAATGTTTGAAAATTTGATACTCATCATTTAAATATGTTCTAGGATTGTTTTTTTTTAGTTGTGCTGCTACTGTGTAGTTTTCTTTGTGGCTACCGACATTTCACAGAAACTTGAAGATGTAGTAGACAGCATGTTCTCCTGAAATGTTGGTACCTCTCCCAAAACTATACAGTATCACAACCCAGAAGACCACAATCTTAAAAATAACTGCTGTGTAAATCTTAGAACTCATATAAATACATTCTGTTCCTACATATATTAATATGCAATACAGTACATGTTGTAAGTCAGAGAAATGGTGAAGAAAATCACTGTATGCACTTTCTGTCTGGTATCACTGGAATGTACAACGATGGTACTAAGATACCACTTTACACAAGCACTCAGTTCAGGAACCCGGTGATCTGTTCACAACAAATCTATTTGCTGTTCAAGTGACATCCTACCACATCCCTTTCAATTTCTTATGAAAGTTGGTGATCATCAATGATGTAAGAATATTTTTTTCTTGAAGTTTTATATATGTTACTTGTTAAATAGTGGTGGTTTGTCGTCCCTTTTCCTGTTCTGCTCTTTGTAATTTTGTGAAATTACTGTGTGCCTTGTACAAGACATTTATAATAAAGGTGAGAAAATGTGGATTTATTGCGAATATATTCTGTAATATGCTGTAACTCGCATTGATATCCTTTTCCACTGTTATGCAAAAAATGAAATAATGTCAAAATTTTTATTTCTACCAGATCAAAATTTCATTCAAATCGTAATGAGTAACTTGGAAGACAATATTAAGAGAACAAGCTCTGCCAGAATTCCCCTCATGTATGAAATACAGATCTAAAGGAAGAAAATGATTAGAAAGACATAAAAGAAGATGGATTCAATTTTTTAAAATGTGTAACAGACCAATAAGACCTGAAGTGGGAAGCATGGGCACCATAATCTCACCATTTTCATTAAATTAAGATACATTAAGTGTACCAAAAGTTTTTGGTTGAAGAAGATTCAGATGCGTTGTGCATTTTTCGGCCTGCCAACTTCAACATTCATAATGTTATATTTTAGCATCCTGTTGCACTGACTCATGTCCATGATTTATGCTAACTGTCTTACAGTGCACACACTTTTTCACCTTACTCTTCTCTTTTGCACTACATGTTTCAGCACTAATGTGCCATCTTCAGGTGCGTTTTCTCTATGCATGTCTAACTACTGCATTGCATGCCCTGATGTCTTCATACTAAAATGACAACAAAGAGCACAATACACACATGAATGTAGGAAGAGCGCTCTGACAGAGGAGGATTGGCGTGATTCGCATGTTGAGATACGACGTAAGGATGACGAATCCTGAAAATTTTAATATTCAAAATCTATTATTATACATGACGAATATATATTTTAGTCATTTTAGTATGAAGACATCAGGGCATGCAATGCAGTAGTTAGACGTGCATAGAGAAAACGCACCTGAAGATGGCACATTAGTGCTGAAACATGTAGTGCAAAAGAGAAGAGTAAGATGAAAAAGTGTGTGCACTGTAAGACGGTTAGCATAAATCTTCAACATTCATGTCTTACAAGTCGAAACTCAGGTCCACACTACATTTCAGAGTCTATTCTGAAAACCCCCATTCGCATTGTGATTAACAAAATCCACCTCATAGGAATGTCTACATCTGAGGTTGAGGCTGTTGCCGCCACACCAGTTGGAAAGAGGGTTTCCAAGCACTACAAATGGAGGTGTTTAAAGCAGCAGCTTAATTAATTAAGCCCAGTATTTACCTTAATAGGAATTAAACGTTACTGCATAATGAGCTTGATAACTTGTACTCTTCTCCAAGTATAATTAGAATGATCAAGTCAAGGAGGATGAGGTGGGCAGGGCATGTAGCACGAATGGGGGAGACGAATGGGGGAGACGAATGGGTATAGGATATTGGTGGGAAAGCCAGAAGGAAAGAGACCATTGGGAAGACCAAGGCGTAGGTGGGTGGACAATATTAAAATGAATCTTAGATAGAATGGGATGGTATGGATTGGATTGATCTGGCTCAGGATAGGGACCAGTTGAGGGCTCTTGTGAACACGGTAATGAACCTTCGGATTCCATAAAATGCTGGGAAGTTCTTGAGTAGCTGCAGATTTGGCTTCTCAAGAAGGGCTCAGCTCCATAAGTAAGTAAGGAATTAAACGTTTTTTAGTAGAAAACAGTCTGCCTTCTCCCTTAAAATTGTCTAAAAAACTCTGAAATCACTAATATAGTGGAACCCTAGTGCTTGATATACGATATCTATGGCGCTACAGTCTTTTGTTGGACATTGGCCGCTTTTTCATTTTCTTAATTTTATACACAGTCAGTAAGACTCTTCGGACGGGGGATCAGCCCGTCGCAAGACCGCTACCTACACGTAGGACAACACAAATATACAATAAATGCACACAGACATTCATGCCTTGAGTGGGATTCGAACCCACGATCCCAGCGTTCGAGCGAACGAAGACAGTTCATGCCTTTTACTGAGCGGCTACTGTGATCGGCACTTGATAAACACAATTACGGCACGTCCAGCAACACTTCCATGGCCCTCACCGGAACAAGCACATACTGTCACACAGACGAGTGAGGCACGATAGATCACTGTGGTCGCGGTGCAAGGGTCAAGAAGGCCCACCCCTTATACATTCATCACACAGACGAACATGCGGCCGACACTAGATACTGTAGATACCAGCAGTAGAGAAATAGGGCCGCATTTTACCTTAGGTTCCGCTACACACTACTAACAAATCTACGTAATATATATATATGATATTTTATATAAAAATACTAAATGCAGCAGGTCTACCTGAATTTTGGGTTGCGAAGATGCGCTGTCTACGAACGATTCCACATCAAAGGATGGATGTCACTTTTCACTACTGAATTCTTGTTCTTCGACAATATAGACTGCCGCAGTTGATTAACCTTGTCATCACAGAACATGCAGTAGAACCGAAGACGAAGTCATTTAGATTTGATTGTTAAAACTTCTGTACAAAAGGGGTCATTCGTGAAAATTTATCGTAATCACACGAAAGTTTTCATGTATGTACCACCGATAGAAACCACACACGAACACAGATAAAGGAAAACACACGCATTTAAGTGAAGCAAATCAGTCGCATCTTGAACAGATGAGGAAAATAATTCAACGCGCCAACTGATGTACCGAACTAAACAATTAAGGAAAGTAAATGTAGATACAGACCACTTTTTCGTAACGTATTGCACATAGTAATCTTATAATTTCTGCCCTATCGGTGCTGTCCAATTATACCGTCCTCGGCGTTACTTTGACCTTGTTCGCTGACTGCAGAAATGAACTAACAACGTGTAGCACCATATTACTGCTCTGCTGAAAGTAGTTCCTCAGCACCGAAAGACAACGTACTTCAGACACAACTTAAGTTTATCAGATCTGAGATTCTTACAGCAGTATCTTCCGGAATATGAAGCCGTGTATTTTGGCAGATGGTTACCGACGTTTCGGAGGAGCGTGTTACCTCTACATCTTCCTTGAAGATGGAGGCAGAATATTCCTCGGAAACACTGGTAACCATAAGTCAAATTGCACGGCGTCATTTCCCAGAATACCGCAGTTTTTACTTTGATGACTTTGGAGGAACTAAAAGTGATATTACAAATTTTTCTCAACGATGTATATACTGCGCTTGGTGTTTCAGTTCCCTTTTTCTACTCGCAAGCCCATTTGCGAAAGATAAATTCATGACCACGGCGCATTCGCTTTAGTACACGCATTCTTGTCTTCAAATATTTCAATCACATATTCCAGACTCCCTGCCTTAACTTAACTCAGTGACCTGTAGTCCGCAAGCGAACTATACCGACCGCCGCTTGTCGGCGAAGTTAGTGCCAACTTTTGCGGTTAGAGGATGTTACGTGGTCAGCGCAACGGTTGCCCACGGCCGTTAATCTTGGTTTTCTAGACCGGAGCCGCTATTTCCTTGAACTATCTCCTCAATTATCCTCACGAGGCTGAGTGAACCCCGCTCCAGACACATTATTTCTTAGAAAATCTGGTAGCTCCGGGAATCGAACCTGGGACCTCTGGACCTATAGCCAGGAACTCTCACCACTAGACAACAGAGGCGGTCATCCTCGTGCCTATGACTAAGTTGAAAAAGTCGGTTCCCATCCTATCACCGCAGGTAAACAACCTTGAGCGTGGTTAGTACTTTGATGGGAGACCGCCTGGAAACACCAAGTGTCGTTGGCACCTAAATTTTGAAACGGGGGATATCGCAACCGGAAGCGACTAGCTACGGGCTGGACGACAGAAGGTTCGGAGTTCGAGTACATATAGGGGCAAGATTTGCCTCTTCCGACCGGTTCTGGGGCTCACCCAGCCTATCCAGTGGGTACCGTGGGCTCTTTCACCGGTGGTAAAGCGGTCGGGGCGTGAAGCTGACCTCTCACATTTAACTAGTACCGAGATCAAGAATACGTGGATCTATACATCCATCCGTACACCTTCATGGCGTAGTACTTAATTAGTTAAGCATAGAGACTTTATCTTTCATGTCAAGCTCCCTAATTCGGTATGTTTTTCTTATTGCTAGTGGGGTGGGACTAAGTCCCTTGTACTGCGGCCACTTCTGGCCTATTGTACCAGCCCCAGATGATAGGTGAGGGTGATTGTCGAGCAATTGGTGGAATGAAGATTGGCAGGGGAAACCGAAGTACTCGGAGAACACCTGCCCCATCGCCACTTTGTCCACCACAAATCCCACTTGACCAGACCCGGGATTGAACCCGGGCCGCCGCGGTGGGAAGCCAGCGACTAACCGCTTGAGCAATGGCGCGGCCAATTCAGTATGTAAGTATTTTAGTTTGCGAAGTGAAGCAGATGTTTGTTTGCTCGCAACGCATGCGTATTCGATATTTTAAATTAATAATTAAATTCTATTGTAAGAAGAATGTTACTTTACTGTATCGTCGTTTACGAACTATTGTCATATGAATGAGAATTAAGCGCATTTGAGTAGGTTATGAGATCAAATTATCATCAAGGAAACCGAAATTAATGGCCGTCTGGATTCGTTGCGCTGACCACGCGACACTCTCTATCCTCAAAAGTTGGCACTAGCTTTACTGACAAGCGACGGTCGCTATAGTTCGCTTGCGGAATACAGGCCACGGAGTTTGTTTGTATCAGCATCTGCTAAATGTAGTTTCTCTCGGAACAGAAGGAAGAGACTGGAATGAGAGCAGTAAATATTTCGCACGAATGACTTGTGCTGCCACGGGAAGGAACTATGAGGATTTGAAGTTCTCGTTTGCCATTTCAGCATATGCGCTAGAAGAAACATTAAAGGTGAAGAAAATCTGTTTCCCTTCTCTCTTAAGAACTGAGTGTACTGTCGAAAATCCTCGTTACCGTTCGGCCCAAATATTACATTTCCTCAAAAAGCTTTGAATATACGGAATTTCTAACTGAATTTTGTGGAAATGTTGCTTGCTCTTTACGTCCTCGCCTTCCTGCCGAATATGCCATCGAGAACTGTCACCTATCCGTAAATATGTCTTCCATTACGTCGAAATACTATATATGGCTACTTAAGTGATGGAAAAGGATATGATAATTGTTTTAATATTTAAGTTGAGAAACTGCTGTCATTTCTTCCGTAAAGTTGTCTCTGTGTACAATTATTTAAGCAGTATACCATGACTACATACGAGGGGGGGGGACCTTTCTTGATCTTCGCACTAGATGAAGGTGAGTGATCAGCTGCACACTCCTGCCCCTTAATTCCGGGGAAAGTTCTCGGTACCAATTAGATAGTATGCTGGGTGGGCTTCTATAAATAAATATTAAACACTAAAGCTAAAATAGTTTGTAAGCATTTGAGAGCAAAGAACTAAGACACTAGGCTGGAACGTAGTGGTGGAAAATGGCGGATATTTTATCAAGGATAAGATAAAGAAGCATATACAGAATTTTGATAAGGAAGTTTTGGAAGATGGCTACTCTAAAAGAGACGGACGAACGGGAGCAAAGCTGTAGAAATGCGAATTGTCCTGATGTTTTTGTGTTAGCGTCACTGTGACTTGTTATTTCAAAATTATGAATTTCGAGACTACAGAAAGTTCTAAAAGTCTTGTTTTAAGAATCGTATTTCATTGCGACAACGTGCTTGGCTGCCCGAATGGATCTGTTAGCAGCAAAGACTGGCCGAAAATGCCGAGTCGAGAAATTTGAAACCACAGACAATGAATCGAACTTCCTGCTATTACACTCACAGTGCATTAACCCCGTTGCCCTGAGAAGCAATGCACTCCTAACAAAAAGTATTCATAGCGTAAAATTTCTGGTGCGTTCGCTCTTCTTTCTTAACAACGTTCATCCGAAACATTTTCCTTCTCCAGCAAATATTTAACGTATTACTTTCGAAATGAGTGCCAAAAGGCGAGTTCTTTTATGTAAAGTGTGTGTTATTACTGTCCGATTTCAACCCAGATCGGAATGTGTTGATAAAAGCTAGTAAAACTCCCAACATAAAATTTCATGAAAATCCGTTCGACGGTTCTGAGTGTTACACACGGAAAGACATAAATTAACGATTATCGCAAAATAGAAGAAAATAAATAAATTTAAATAATATTATATTTCAGCATCCTGTTGCATTGAAGTATCACTCGCTGTTGGCCGCGCCATAGCTTAAGCGGTTAGTCGCTGGATTCCCACCGCGGCGGCCCAGGTTCGGTCCCGGGTCTGGTTAAGTGGGATTTGTGGTGGACAAAGTGGCGCAGAGGCAGGTTTTCTCCGAGTACTTCGGTTTCCCTTGCCAATCTTCATTTCACCAATTGCTCCACAGTCACCCTCACCTATCATCTGGGGCTGGTACAATAGACCAGAAGAGGCCGCAGTACAAGGAACTTAGTCCCACCCCACTAGCAACAAAAAAAATCACTCGCTGTTTATAATGCAACACACTTTCTTAATTCAAATGATGCCAAATTTACATTCAACTTACTAAAATGTAACTTAAAATGTTCTTAAAATGGCATTAATATATAATGTATGTCTGGCTACATGTTTCGACCTCAAGGAGCCATCTTCAGGCAACACATTTTGATGGAACCTACTTCACTGTGCTCGCTTATGTTAATAGTACTCGTTGATGTAAGCCGTCATAACTCTCAATGTATTATTTTGAGAGTGTCTATCATGACTGCCTCTGCGGTCTAGTGGTCAGAGTTCCTGATTACAGATCCAGAGGTCCCGGGTTCGATTCCTGGCGCTACCAGATTTCCTGAGAAGCAGTGGGTCTGGAACGGGGTCCACTCAGCCTCGTGATGATAATTAAAGAGTTATTTCAAGGAAATAGCGGTTCCGGTCTATAAAACATAAATTAACGGCTTGCGCTGACCACGCGACACCTTCTATCCACTAAAATTGCCACTAATTTCTCCGACAAGCGGCGGTCGCTCGGTCGGTATAGTTCGCTTGCTGACTACAGGTCACGGAGTTCTTTTTTTTTCTTCTTTTTTTGAGTGTCTATCTTCGTATTGCGCCATCTCGGTGCCCCTGCACGTGTGCCGGTCCCCCGGTCCTGTGTTTTGGGTACAAGGGGCAATTTAAATAAATAAAATTTTCCGTTGGCAGTTGGCCCTATTATAAAATGCCTAACAGATCTGAAGGTAATGTGCAATCATTTATGCGGCAGATATTTCGAGAAAAAATGTGCATAATAAGAGAATATCAATTTTCTGACATTGATCTCTTGCAGTATGTATTAACGCTAGCAACGCACTTTCTGCTTGACTGGTGCTAGCGTATTGACCGCAAGGTCACACCAACTTCACACCGCAACAGACAGTGCTTAGGCAACGCGACAGATAATATTTTCAGTGGTGTTCAATTCTGAGTTTGCGATATTCAAGGAGATACCGTTTTGGGTGGGAAGTGAGCAAGCCGATCTGATGTCATCTGGAACGCCCAGTGGAATGCGTCTTCGGACAGTAAGTTGTTAAAATATACAGTATTAATAAACTTACCGTGATTTCATGCGTTCTTTTAAGGGGAAAAAGTCTGTATATCCTGATAGCTCATTTCCCAAACTATTTAACGTAAATTCCGTTTTGATTCCTTACAGTCAACCATACTCAATACAGACACTATTTTATTTGCAAATCCTGAAGGGAAGAAATCATTTGGAGGAGCTTAACATGTAGATGGGTAACGTAAACAGTAAAGGTATCCATATAACAGGCCATGGAGGCCCTTAGGGTTTTGAGACGTCGAGGCTCCCACATTTTCTAGACAATCGGCTCACAGACAACGGAAAGGTTGTCAGCCTCACGCGCCGGCCGCCCTTTACCCCCAGGAAGATTACTGGTACTCATTTCTGTTAGAGGCCCAGTAGACCCCATGACCACAGTCCGGCGGGAAGGATTAGGTAAACTGAAAAATCCAGTGACCTTATCGTGAATCGAAACCGAGACCTTCCGGCCTATAGCGTTGTGCTTCAACTAACTACGCTACCACCTGTCTCCAAATGTAATGGGAGGATATTAAAACTGATCTTAAAGAAACAGGATGTGAGGGTGTGGATTAGATTTATGTAGCTGTGGGCAGAGAACTGTAGTGAGCTCTTATAAACACGTTAATATTACGTGTACTTTGGGTCCCACAGAGGTGGGAATTTCTTGAGCAGTTGAGCGAATTCTAGTTTCTCATGGCTGACTCTGCTACATGAAGTTAATTCGATACTATAATCCCTACTCTAAACGCATTCAACTGGCTCCTGAAGCAAAGTCCTTAATTAGCAGCCAACAGTCGTTCAGCTATTCAAGATCTCCTCAAAATCTTATGGAGCCCGGAGGTTCATTACAGCGTCCACAAGGGCCTCCACTAGTCTGTGTCCTGAGCTAGATCAATCCAGTCCATACCACCTTATCCTATCTTAACATTATTCTCCCATCTATGTTTAGGTCTTCCTAGTGATCTCCTTCTTTCTGGTTTTCCCGAAAAAACCTACATCCGTACCTCTTATCCCCATGCATGCTATATGCCCTGCTCATCTCATTGCCTTCGACTTTATCATTTTAATTATATTTGACAGAGTGTACAAATCTTGAAGCCACACATTTTTTCCAGCCTCCTATTATTTCATCCCTCATAGGTCCAAATATCCTCCTCAGCACCCTGTCCTCAAAGACCTTCAGTCTATTTCTTCTCTTAATTTCATAGGACAAGTTTCACACCCATACAAAACTATAGGTAAAATTATAATTTTGTAAATTTTAATTTTTATATTTTTGGATGGCAGGTGAGAAGAAAAGAGGGTTTGAACTAAATGGTAGTAAGCATTACCTGAATTTAATATGTTCTTAATTTCTCCATGCATCAAATTTTGTTTTGTTACTGTCATTTTCAAATATCTGAACTTTCCCATATCTTCAAAGAATTTATTAGTGTTTTATGCTATGATTTTGCCCTGCATTCTAGTGTTATGACATCAGCTTATGCTTGGTTTTCTCTGTGTTCACTTCTAGAACCTCGTTACTTGCATCAAAGATGGCTTCTGTGTTTTCTTTGTGGCATTACTCATTGATTACAATTGTGTAAGACACATCTTACTTCACGTTTTGCCTTCCATGTGACATGTGTCACACATCTCTTGGGCTAAATGCTGTTGTCAGTGTAGTTACTATTTTGATGCCTTGCCATTTCACATCTGTGACTTTCACTGCATACTGAATTTCTCCCTTTTTCATTTTGAATTTTTTTTTATTATGGCTGGTAGCTCTTTCCTGTTTCCACATAACAAGCCACAAGAAACAAATGCTGCTTCAACAGATTTTATATTTTAGAACGATTATAAAATGCTACCAGGTTTCTACAATATTCTATCACATCATACAATTCCAGTATGACATATTTGTACATCATAACAGTACTGTACCTTCATTCTTATATTTACTTTTGCATATATCAAATTTCATAATAAAATGTGTAAGAGCATCCTTCAAGCACCAGACCAGACCAGACCACATTTTGTAAAGTAAAGGGGCATGAACTTCTTGGACCATAACTCCTTTTGAATGGAATCACTGACTCAGCAACAGATGAAAATGAATATCTGTAGTAAATTTTCCCCAGTTTTATTGCCATGATACATAGAAGCCCAGTCCTGGATTGCCTTTGGTATTGTTATTCAGGTGTGGTAATTTAAGACTTATTTGCATTGTTTAGTAGCCGTAACATCTAGCGGCCTCCGTAGTCTAGAGGTAACGTTCCCACCTCATGACTCGTAGTACGCGGGTTCAAATACCTGGCGGAGGTCGTCGAATTTTTAAGGGCGGAAAAATTCAGGGAACAAGTCCTCTGGGAGGGACTTTAAGCCGTGGGTCCTGTGTCGTAGCTTTACGGCATGTAAAAGAACCTCATGCCTCCAAAGGAGGTCACTGAGCAAAATTGCGGATGTTTGCCGCCCAACAGCAGAGGTAGAGGGGGGAAGCATTATAGATACTTCTTAGCCAGCAGAGCCGGTCTCGCTGGCTGGGCGGGACTGATGGTAAGCACCAGTACCGGTAGGGTATAGAGGCTGGTAGGAATCACAGAGGGAAGCACAATGGACCACTACAGGTCTAAGTGTATGGGGAAACGCACCCTCTCTAATAACTAGCCATAACATCTGCAATGGTCTGAACATTCAAGTATGGAATCTGAACTCTAGAAGTCCTCAGTGTGGAGCAATATTTGAATTCCTTTAATCAATACACTGAAAACAGCTTCCAGTTTTGGTACAGTGATAAGGGTCCAGATCTTTATGTTCTTTATCTGCATCTATGTCTGTGTTATAGCATATTTTCTGCAAGTGTTCATCATTCGGCATCAACACCATCTTCTTCATGTCTCTTTCTGGTTGACGTAGCTCAATTTGTAATGTATGAATCTAAGGCTAAGATTATTCACACTTCAGTGAAATGTTCGTGTTGTTACCACTGTTGCTATCTTGAAAAAATATGACTGAACACTGTGACAAAGTGGTTTCTGTACCTGATTATACAGTTACTTTTTCCCATTTTTTATGCTTATTTTACAATGCTGTATCAAGGTTATATAGTGTAAAATGGCAGCATGACAAACTGGAAAGGTGTCATGGCCCAATCCAGGTACTATTTTTGGAAATTGCCCAGAGGACCTAACAAAAACTATGAAAGACCTCATCCAGGATAGCCAGTATCCTGGCTGGGATTCAAACCAAGCATCTCCTAAATACAAGTCTTGAGCGCTGCCAATAAACTAATCTACTACATAATTTGGTTTCAACCCAGCCAATTTGATCATGTACTTCTTATAATTTTTATAACAAACCCTCCAAACAAATACTGTGATGAAACATCAAATAGTTCACAACTACCTCTCCCATATCCAATTCAAATCAGATAACATAATTGATGCATAAGTTGAATAAGGTTATTTTTTTTATTGCTAGTGGGGTGGGACTAAGTCCCTTGTACTGCGGCCACTTCTGGCCTATTGTGCCAGCCCTAGATGATAGGTGAGGGTGATTGTGGAGCAGTTGGTGGAATGAAGATTGGCAGGGGAAACCGAAGTCCTCGGAGAAAACCTGCCCCAGTGCCACTTTGTCCACCACAAATCCCACTTGACGAGACCCAGGCTGCCACGGTAGGAAGCCAGCAACTAACCACTTGAGCTATTGTGTGGCCTGAATAAGGCTAAACATGAGATAAACTTATCTTATTCAACACTTCAATAGAGGAAGTTAAGATATACAGGGTGTCCCAGGAGGAATGTGCCAAACTTCGGGAGGGTGTTCCTTATGTTAAAGTATGCCGATATAACCCAAAACACCTATGTCCAAAGTTGAACGGTTACGGAGATAATGGCCAGAGAAGTGTCAAACTTTGACCGGGGTTACACACTTGTTGATTACAAAATAGATATTAAAACTGGCAGGAATATGTGGATTCTGTAACGTTAATAATGTACGTAACATCAAACTAACTTGTGAGTGACATGAAGCCATAAAATTGAAGTACAAAAAACTCGCATGCCATCTCAAAGTTGTCGTTAAGAGTTCCAAGCACTGTACATGACACATGAATGGTAAGCGATGACGTAACGTGCTGACTGCGCGTTCTGATAAAGCCAACTCCATAAGCACGGATAGGATGAATCACGGCAGTCAAGGACAAACAGAGATAATTCCTCTCAGCTGATAGGTATAATCCGTGGACTCGCTAGAAGACCACACTTTTCTCGGGCCATTATCTCCGTAACCGTTCAACTTTGGACATAGGTGTTTTGGGTTATATCGGCATACTTTAACATAAGGAACACCCTCCCGAAGTTTGGCACATTCCTCCTGGGACACCCTGTATTTTACATACGTGCAACTTCTGCTTCTCAAACTTAGCTATGTCACATGTTGCAGTGGTATCAAAGTGTTAACGTACATTGCAGTCACCACTGTCAGGGTAAATATGAGATGGAAGGAGATATATGTCTCACAATGTAAGTAAAAATGGCAGTTTGGAGGGTGGTGCGAGCCACTGGGAAGGGGCCACGTGGTTAAAACGTTTGGAGAAAAGACATAAAACCAATCTTTGTTAAATATATATCAATCCACCTCATATTCACCTTAAAGACAGCCAATGTGATACACCAAATCATCGGAAGAGATTCAAGAAAACAAGAAACTCTTCTCTTATTGGTTAGTCACTGTCAGATGGCCTATGTTATATCTGAAGGTGAAAGGCATTAACACTAAAATAGACAGTCTGACTGAATGAGTCATCAACCAACTCCACGAATCTAAAGTATAAGATTTTTTCAGCAGTTTAAGATAGCTCTTGTAAGATTTGAGGTTTACATGGTGGTTGACTATGAAGAAGAATGCCATCTTCTGGTATGTGGCATCCTGTAGATCTTGTGTGAGAGCCAATGTTTCAGAGGCTGCAGAAAGCCACCTGCTCACGCTGGTTCCTCTCTTGCAGATTTCTCTCCAATGAAACTGAGGCGATACATTCCTCCAAAACAAGATCTACACGGTGCCACATCCCAGAAGATGACATCTTTAAAGATATCTCTTGTTACTATGAAACCCGAAACTTCTACACAAAATTCCACCATTTGATCTTATGTTGAGCCATTTGTATTCATTCCCAGATTTGAATCCTGTTTCACCGAGATTCATTTTAATATCTTATTATCTACACCTGTCACAATGAATAAAACATTGTTAAATAAGGAGACGGGCACAATCTCTTTGTTCTAAGTTACATACCTTACTGTTCTGCCAGAAATCATGCTTCCTGATATGGGCCCTGCTGACAATGCAGCATGGAAGATGTGATGACATTCCCCAAGCAGCCCAGAAAGCAGTCAGTCTTCCAGACACCCAAGAGGAACCTGAGTCAACTCGTGGTGTTCGATCAGTACCTCCATATGGAATCGGAGGGCCTGGAAGACTGTTACCCCACTATGGTTATGGGTTGCCAGGACTCCATCATGGCTTTGGGGATCTAGTCACTGCACATCATGGACTTGGAGGTCATAGAGGTTTAGAGCTAATTCATGGTCATGGTCTAGGCGACACCTATGGAAGTGGGTTTCATGGAGGGCTTCTTGGTAGTCATCACACCATATCACCCCTGCACAGAATGAGAAAAGCTTCCGATGATAATGAACTCAATCCACCAAACAGACTTACATTTTATGGACACCCTGAGAGGAATCAAATTAGTAATATAGCTCCTGCTCTTGAAGCATTCCCAGTGAGACAAAAATATGGCATGCCTCTTGATCAGACAAATGGAAATTATGAGCCACAGCTAAGGTATAATATTGCTGGGATCGATACAAGCAGCCATCCTGCTACCAAGCTGTGGCATTATCCAGGTGTAGGAGCTCATGGAATTGGAGTGGGGCTGGGGGCAAACTATAGGCCAGGCACACCAGAACAATATAGCAAAGGACTTCCTGAACATCATGCAGGCTGGATATCAGCACTTCATGACCTGCATAATGTCCATGGAATGGCTGGACTAGGGAAACCAGGGCTTCCTCAGAGAGTCATACCAGGCCACAATGGAGAGGTGACAGGAGTTCCAGTAATGGAGATACATAAGAACATTCCACATATCCATGGAAGTTCATCTTCTGGATATGGAGGTACAATAGGAGGATATCAAGAGATTGCTAACGATCATAATTTTGGAATACATAAAGATATGCATATAGGTGAAACAGATAGCTATCATGGGGCGAGTCAATACCATGGAATGGCTGGATATCATAAACATCTTGGGGATAATTATCAAACAAATGGACATCATGGAATAAATGGATATCATGGAAGTGGATGGTATACAGGTGGGGTAGCAGATGATCATGGACCTTTGACGTTTGGCGAATCTTCACAGGGTCCTTTGCCACATGGTCACGGCAATCAGTGGGACGAAGACTTTGAAACCGACCAGAATAATAAGTTCTCAATATTTAAAAAAAACATACATCTGAAGCGAGACAAGCACAACAAAATGCACAACAAGAGAGATTCTTCCGAATGGAGAAATTTGCTGCCAAGTACTGACGAAAAATTCTCTGGCTCAGAAAGTTTGGAAACTAAAACATCAGAAACAAACTACAAAATGGAAGAGAATAATGAAAGCACTTCACTTCCGGAAGGCATGGGAAATGACAGTAAAGAAAATGCAAACAATGCAAAGCATTTTGACACTATAAACAGTGACAATACTGTAGGAAGTAGCAAGACCAGTGATACGGTGGAAGTGTCAAGACATGATACTACATCCCCTGATAATCTAGGTGGAAGAACTAAACTAAGTATGAGCAATAATTTTCTTTATAATACAGGCATGTCTGTGGCTGACTATCCGTCAGTACTGAGTAATGGTGAACGGTCTGCCACTCTTTATGCAAGGGGGCTTCTTATAGACCTTCTGAATGGGGGCAGAGCTACACTGGATGCTGGGAACAGTAATCAGATACCAGATGCAGTTAGTCTTACAGGTGCGGATAATGCTTTAGGGGGGGCTCAAAATGGGATCACAGCAAAGCACACACCAGGAGGAACCTACCTGACAGAAAGTGGAAATAGCAATCGAGGGGGCTCAAAAATACAACAGTATGAACAAAGCCCACAAGAGCTAGGATATATCTTCAATGATAATGCTGATGGGAAATTATGGACTCGATACAACTCACGCCAGTATGATTATCATGGTGGGGATTTTGATTATGGGCTAGTCCCAATAACATACTGGCCATGGTACAATAGTTATGGTCAATATTACATGACACCTTACCCCACTGTTCAGACAGATTATGGTTATGGTCTGATGCAGTTTTGAATGAATGATTATCAGTGTGTGACAGATTGTAACAATTTAGGTCTGGATGGGAAATTACGAGTTGGTTTATTGTGAGAAAATGTTTTATGTCCAGTGTTCTTTGTATTAAATTTGTAAATCAAAATGTATCACAAACAGAAATAATAACTTTTCTTCCATGAATTCAGAACAGACTACTCCTAGATGCGATCCAGTAATTTTCTGAATATTCCTTTAGTTTGTAATGGACTTGAAATTTTTTAGAAGAATTTAGGGGAAAAGAATCAGAGGCAGAATTACCAATTAAATTATCAGAAAAAGTGATGGCATTCAAAATCTGTTAACAGAGCTAAAACTGACTGTAATGGTTTGATAATCAAAAAGAATGGACAGAACAAGAAAATGAAGAAGGGTATTAGAATTAAAATTTAAAGGAAAGACATATGGAATGATGAAAAACAAGGTGGTTCAGCCGAGCACTGAAAGCCAACAGGAGTAGAGGAGTGAGAGGGCAAGAAATAAAAAAGGAAGGTTTGTGGGAAGAATGAAATTGGATTCATTCCATCCATTTAGGTAAGTTGCCCCTGTTCGTAACTAATTAAGCACTACGTTACGAAGATTTATGGGGGTGTGGATATATGAGGTAAAGCTATCCCTCTAACAGGCCATGGAGGCCTATTGGGTTTTGAAATGTCAAGGCTCTCACATTTTAGAGACAATCAATGCAAAGATGGTGGTGAGGTTGTTAGCCTTACATGCTGGCCACCCTTTACCCCCAGGAAGATTCCTCGTATTCATTTCTGTTTGAGGCTGTATTAATGCCAGGGCTGTAGTGCGACTGGAAGGATTATGTCAGTTGAAAAATCTAGTGACCTCATCAGGAATCAAACCTGCAACTTTCTGGCTTATAGCATGGTGCCTCAACCAACCACACTACCATATGCCCCAGAGTGAATATATAGATTCACAAATTCTTGGCCTTGGAGCTAGCTGGAGGTGGTCAGTTCCACGCACTGGTCACTTTGTTTCTGGGGAAAGGGTCCCTGGTACCCATTGGATAGGAGTCTGGATGATGTAGAGAAGAGAAATATCTTTCCTCTACCAGGACTTGAACCCTAGACCCTTGGCTGTCCAGCCTGTAGCCAGGCGCTATACTGACTATTGCATTCCATTAACTTGTAACACACTGGAGCTTAACACACCAAAATCTGTATGTATCCCTACAGCCAGAAATACAAAAGACGATGGTCAGGGGATTGTGCATGGCAGGCAGCACCCTTAAGGTTTGGCCACACAGAGCACTACGTACGTGACACACGCTACGTTTGCTATGTTCGCTATACGAACAGAAAAATATCTTCCTTTACTGCCAATGCGACTGGCCACACAGACTTCCGTATGCTATGTTCCCTATGTTAGCTGTGTCGCAGGGTGTACACAGCGTAGTGCTCTGTGTGGCTGAACCTTTAGCGCCTGTAACATTATTTTTTTAACACCCTGCATACTGCATGTATGACAGAACAAATGAGAAGGAACTATACCATATATTAATATTAATGGGTCTTCAAAACAGTTTCTGCCCCAATCTATGTTTCAGTACAGTAACACATAACTGTAGGGTGATCTGTAAAGATTTCACTGAAATGGAAATTTGTAACCAAATTTTCTGCCCCACCTCCAAATAATTCTAGCACTAGCTGCCCCCTTTAGAACAAAATCCTGGTGGCATCCATGAGTGTTACCATAACATTTTTCATGAAAATGACAGCTAACAACAGACACATACGTCCAGCAATGCAATGCACACAGCCACATAAGAAAAACACAGTATATAGACAATTAAAACATAAGAACGACTCCCATAGTGGATGAATGGCGTTACACACGAGTTTGATATATGACATGTAAGGTGATAGATCTTAATAAGTTTTAATATATAAATTTTATTATTGAACGATGACGAACACACATTTTATAAATGGACACTTGACGGCAGGCAGTGCAATGGTTTAACGTGATTGATACACCTGAGGATGGCAGAATGATGCCGAAACATGTAGTGTGAAGTGACAAGTGAAATTGTATGCACTAAAAGACGGTAAATATATACACATTATGGATACAAATCAGTGCAACAGGATGCTAAAATACAACATTAACAACAAAGATTACTGTTAGCGGATACATATACAGGCAGAATTAGCACTGCTTGCAGTGATCTACCAATGCACTGTGTTATCATACTCTCGCTGCTTCTGTCATACACAGATAAATACAAACATGATCTATTTAACATTACATTTAATATATTTTAGTCCATATAAAAATATAATGAATCAAAGTGAACAAAACAGCATATCAAGGCACGTTTTGAATGGTACTTACCTAAGCTGCAAAGTAGAGGAGAGGGAGAAAGGAGGGGTGAGAGGGACGACAAGAAGGATGGGCAAACAGAAGTTAATGGAAAACAAAGTGGGATAAGGGAGGAAACGAGAAAAAAATATGAATGCTTGTATAATGAATGAACAGATTTTCCACTGAATTTTCAATACATACATACATACATCAGCGTTTCAGAGTATTCATAAGCGTGCAACCGGCACTGAATATAAAACTTGTCAGTCACAAGACAATCACAGATAAAATGGGCATTAAAGTACTATATATAAAAATTCAAGACTTTGTTCTCCTGTCCCTAATTAACTTTTCTCCTACATTTGAACAAGGAAACATGAACAGCTCACTGAAGTGCTCTAATGCAAGGTAATATTTACTTACAATGGGTACTAATATTAAAAATATTGTTAACTTTTCATGGAGCTAATTTAAAAACAATTATATACATAAATTACATTAACACATGGTAACAAAATCTGTACAGCAGAAATAATTTCAACTGTCTAAGTGGGGAACTAGCACTACTTTCAATTGCATATGCACTTATTTACTAGTTTGGCAGCGTTATGCATAGTACTCCAAAGAATAAATTATACATTATAAAATTAATATAAAAATGTGCTGAGACTGGGTTTCATTTTAGTTGCGTGTACGTAACTTCCTACTTCATAGATTAATAGCCATAACTCCAATTCAGATCCTTTTCTAGTAACTGTTATGATGAAATTTTTAGAATGAGTTTAATTTTGTATCACAAACCTCAACTCCTATCAACTCTTTCAGGAATTTAAGATGCAAAATATCAGTTTCAACTGCCATTTGGAAGGGTACCTCAGTCTACTACTGAAAACGCACATGACTGTGAGTTACACCTGAAGGTACAGAATTTATGGTTATATTATACGACTGCTGGCCAGAGAAACCTTTTTTGAGAGGTTTTCAAGACAGATTTAGATTGTGGTCTTCTGTGTTATGATACTGATCTTTAGAAAATGACCTGAAAGCTGAGACAGCAGATCCATCCAAAATGCTGGTAATCATCTAGCAGAGAACATTGTGTCTTAACCCAGAAGCCCCCCCCACCCCAAAATAACATTTATTTTGTTTCTGATATCACAAACATGAGATTATTTGCATCTGTAACAACTTTATGGTTATTTCTTCAAACCATAATTGAGTTTATATCAACATGCCTTATTCAAGAACATATTATTTACTTTGTCATACAATTCATGGTATTTATATTCTGTGTTACCTATTTCAACAAAATGTCTCAGTACTCTGGCTTCACACTTACCCATATGCCACTGATCAACCCACCAATTTTCTCTGTTTACTGTATTTGTGAGTGGAGAAACTGGAATTGGGCAGTCATAATGGGCTTCACTGATACTTGACAATCTGGTTCTCTGACCATTCAATTTCTTATGCTCATGCTCACATAAAAAACATTCAAAATGTTCAATAAAATTTCCTTTCTCAAAATCATTATCAATTCCCCATTTACGTGTTTCAAGAGCACTGGTGAGTCTTTTGTTAGTGACTTTTTCACCTTTCGCTCCAAGTTTATGTTTCAAGAAAGATTTATATTTAGTAATATTACTGTTGTGAACATGCAAATATTGTGCTAATTCTTTTGGTGATCTGAAGTCCATTGCTAAAATTGCAGAGTTGTTATTAGGCAGCCAGTCCTGAAATATAAGACAACATTAACATCACACATGCATACTGTATAAAAGAAACTCAATATAAACTAGCCTGTGAATAATTATACAAAATCCATTTGACCCAGCCACACAAACCTATTGTAAGCAATGAGAAATGCATTCCATCTAGTCATCAAATGCTGGATATTTTTCTACCAGTATGCTGATAAAATCAGCCATACGAGGGGGGACCCAAAAATGACCGGAAACGACCTGTTGAGCGCGCATGCTTTGTAGTTACGAGTTGTGCTGCTAGGTGGTGTTAGCTGGGGGTCTCCCGCGACTGTTAGTGAGTTGGCGTCAGTCTGAGTTAAGTGGTTTGTCTGTGGTGCTCTGTTGTGTGCGTTCCTGTTTCAACCCTTTGGCGATTAGTGAGATGGCCGACCAGAAGGAACAAAGAGTGTGCGTGAAATTGATGAAGATCGTCGAAAGACCATTGACCAACTTTCTGAGGAAACGAACATCTCATGGAGCACGGTCCAGCGAATTTTAACCGAAGGTTTGCACATGAGACGGGTGTCTGCAAAATTTGTTCCTCGCTTGCTCGGAGATGACCAAAGAGAAAACCGCGTGAAAGTTTGCCGCGACTTGAAGAGTGAAGTGCAGTTTTCCCTAACAGAAAGCAAAATTTCACACACACTCTTTGTTCCTTCTGGTCGGCCATCTCACTAATCGCCAAAGGGTTGAAACAGGAACGCACACAACAGAGCACCACAGACAAACCACTTAACTCAGACTGACGCCAGCTCACTAACAGTCGCGGGAGACCCCCAGCTAACACCACCTAGCAGCACAACTCGTAACTACAAAGCATGCGTGTGCAACAGGTCGTTTCCGGTTATTTTTGGGTCCCCCTTCGTATATAGCCTGTCACAATTCAGGATATCTTTGGCGTTCAAAGAAGAGAATAACTGTTACTTTGCCAGTGGATATTTGGGCCTGAATTCTTCTTGTGGGGTGCTCCTGATATTTTTACAGCATACATAGTTCATAGCAATGATAGCAAGGTCTCCCATGAAAATTTTTTAATTCAGTAAAGTACATAATTAGCAGTTTAAATAGTCACATATATGATGCCTAATATTTACATACAGTTCACATATTATGGTAGAGTACAAATGATACATACCCTAACAGAAGGAGATCCCATATAAATAGGGACAGATCCTACCACCAGGGGCCTCCAGAGCTTTTCAGTGATGTAGTCATCACACACAGCATTTTCAAATGACAGCGTAAATTTATAACGTGCCACAAAGTGAAAGAATTCATCAGAATCCATGCTCTCCATTGGGTCCGCTAGACTGAAAGTGCAAAATAAGATGTGTGCATTATATCAGCTTTACTCCCGCTTTAGTTATGTAGCGTATCAGCATTAAAATCAACATAACTTCCCCTTTCATGCCTACATCATGACTATTTGCATTTCTGCATCGTGTTTCACATGAGTTACAGCAAAAGTTGGGCCCAATTGTTAGAGCTATTCCCTAACTCCGGACTGAAGACAGGGACTAGCTCTATTGATTGGGATCAACTGAGTAGGTTTCAACTGAAGATGGAGACAGACTCCAGTCTCCGAAACGTTGGTTTGTAACATAAACAGGATGATGGACAATGTCCAGTAACACAGTATTTGTACTTCTTAAGTTTCTTATGGCACAAATGGATCTGCTTACGCTCTTTCGCACAACATCGCTGTGTGGGATTGGGGATGTTCCCACAGCTGTTTACAATAATGTATCCATTGTGTCAAGAAAGGAATTAATATATACCAAAATATCATAGAAGCAAAAGCAGATAATTAATCATCATATTATAGATATATCCAGATCAAGTCAATCTTACTGTTCTGGGAGATGCCTATTCTGTACACACTTCCCATATGAGTCAACAGGAATGTATTTCATCAGCTCTGTTGCATATGCATCCCTTTCCAGGGGAGTGCTGCAGTCAGAATGGACGTAGAGCACAGGTGCCAGTTCTGAAAGCAGCTCATTTTTCCTTTCTACAGGAACAAAATATTTAAGATCTGGAACATTTATTATGGAAGCGTGAGAACAAAATATTTGAGAGAATATCTGGCTATGTATAACACGGTCCGTCAATAATGCAACAAATTGTTCCTTTTTCTGTCCTTTATACTTTAACACAACATGTTTCAGCCTTAGATGGCCATCTTCAGGTGTCTTAATATATATCAAAACTGCTACACTGCATTAATATGTGGTAAAATCACACATTGTAGTGCATTTAAATAAAATAAAATTCATTAAAATTTTCTTGACTAGTGAAGACAACACCACACATTGCTAGATGGAACAACGCATAAACAAGGGACATATTGCAGACGTAACAGAACAACGGGCTAACGAACATAAAAACAACCTGCTGCAACAAATAACACGGAGAGAAACACATAGGTCTAAACAAATGGAAGACCCCCCTTGTGAGGTGGAGTAGAATTTCACCGAAGTGACGATGACTTTGGTAGCCAAAGAGGATCTATGAAATTAAAATAAAGATACAGATACAAAGGAAGAGTAGAATTTTCTTCCATCATTCATTAGACTTACACGGCTCAGTAAAAAACGCATCTGAACACTTTTAGAATTCAACATCTGTACCATGTTTTAATTCAGTTTAATCAAAGCTGAATTGTTTCAAGCAAATAGATGAAATGAGCCCAGAACTTTGAAAGACCATTGGTGTAATTACCGGTTAGAACATCTGCACTCTTCAGGTACTGGAGTGTGAGTGGGAAGTGACTGAAACGGCTAAACGTGGCTGTTACATTGAACATCTCCAGTGCCTCTAAGTGAGAGAGTGCTGGAGTGTTCTTGGGTGATTCCTCATGTAACAGAGCCCAGTCATGATGCAGGCCATCCCGCGGAAGTGGAAGATCTATCAGGTCAAACTGGCTTCCGTAGAACATTAAAGCCTACAAAAATAACATACATCCTTTGAAAACAATTAAATTAGTATGCAATACTTGCATGCTTTCATGCTGCTGGAACAGCAGATGCCTGAAATCATTTTAAAAATTCTAAGTGTAATAAATAACATTCCTTAAAATACATGAACAGCAATTCCAAAATTCTTATATATTACTGAAACCTGGACAATGACGGCCAACATAAATCTAACACCAATGCTATCAAAATAATAATCAAGAGATGAATTATAATATACACACTGAAGGTGGATGAGTGATTGACAATAAACTTCTTGAACATCACAAACTAAATCATAATAAATCATTTTAAACTCACTTTTGTTAAATTATGGCTCCTGTATCTTCGGTCTTCTGTAAAGAAGCACTTCACAGCCCCACAGTGTTTGATTGCCCCTTTTTGACCTGTGAACGGTGTCCACCATAAAACTATAGGGTCTTGCACATCTACAAGATAAAACACAACACATCTTGTGCTCTTTCAAATGGTGCAATAAAAGTCTTCTTAAAATACTGGCTACACAGTAAATAATTTCATGAATATCCCTAAGTATTTTAATCGTACAAACCTTGAATGCTCTCATTGTCACTGTACTCATGATGGAAGAATTCATGTGGATATACATCTTCACTGTAGATCTGGAAAAGAATTATGGTAATTGAGAAATATCCAAAAAGATATGAAGAAAGCATTCTTCTGGGATGTGGCGCCATGTACATATTGTGTAAACCTGTTTCGGAGGATCATATCACCTCCATTTTCAGGGTATAAAAATCTGCGAGCAAGGAACCAGTGTGAGCAGGTGGATGCCGTCTGCAGCCTGCTCAGATGGGCCAATCCATGGAGCTAATCCCTACCTCCTGACACCAGAACCAAGACAAGATATAGATATACCAAACACAACAGAACTCCTCCAGATGGTTTCTGTTATATTTGGTTTGCATATCCTGTCTTGGTTGCTTCTGTTGTTCAGTGATAGGGACTTGCTTTAGTGGTTGGGTCCAAATAAATAGGCATTTTACCTGAGAATGGATACAGTGTCCAGTCTCTGAAACAATTATTTTAAATAAAAACAGGAAGATGAATAATGTCCAGAAAGTCAGTAATAATAATACAGCAGTGTGATCCAATTACTATAAATTACAGGGTGATTTAGAAAGATGGACACAATTTCAATTGGCTATATTTCCTGAATTATGTTGCATTTGAATTCTGTAAATTACACTTGATTATACATACATGGAAGTTTATAGATGTTCAATGTGCCCCCCCCTCCGGCTGCATGGATAACATCTAGACGGTAGCTGAATTCATCCTACACTCGATGACAAATATCTTGCGTCACTGAGTTCACCGCAGCTGTGATACAGTTTCTTAGGTCATTCAAATTTGTGGGAAGAGGTGGTACACGCCACACAGTTGTTTGCGATAGTCCAAGTTCTCTACTAGCACTACGGGTTGACTTCATTGGGCTGCGCTCAAAGTTCACTCGAATGCACTCCATGTTCTCCTCCGATACACGCGATCGGCCCGGGACGCAGTGATGGAGGGCACTAGCGGTAGTACTAGAAACTTTGTAACATCCTCTTTCAAATGTACTTTACAGAATTCAAATGCAATATACAGTTCAGGAAATATAGTCAATTGAAATTGTGTCCATCTTTCTGAATCACTCTGTATAATTATAGCATTTCTGTTGGTATTACATTTACTGTCTTTTGAGTGTGACACACAATGCAACAGCAAGTTACGATACAGAATTAGAATACTTCGTTCCACTTAAGGACCCTGTAGTCCCTCTGGAACGATTTGGTGGGGACGGCAATTCCAGAAAACTGTGTTAAATGATCGTCTTACATGGGCAGGAAATTCTGTTTCTTTGCATTGTGCAGTATTAATACGGATGTTTGGAAAACAGGTTATGAGGATGGAGAGTGCACGAAACTGGCTCTGGATGACTAATGTTCAAAGGCGGGCTTTAGAAACTTTCAGGTTCCACTACCGGCGACTTGGGGAGATTTTATTAATGTTGATCTTAGGAAAGAAAATTGTGAGGGCGGAAGTACAAGTAAATGGAAGTGGCCAAGGTTCATAACCAATGACAGGTTTTAGTATTAGCAGAGCTGAACCTTGGGTTTACCAGAGTTAGTTATGTGAATAATTCTTTAATGTTAATTTAAGTTTGTTAAGAACTTTGGATAGCTGTGTTCCTTCAATGTCAGGACCCTCTTGAAAGAGGATACCTGAATACCAAGGCACAAATGGAAGAACATTAAAATGAATCTTGAGGAAATGACTGTGGTGAACTGGTTCAAAATAGATACAAACTGTAGGCTCTTACTTACTCCTACAATACCAGCACATCTAATTGTAAAATTGTATGCTTCCCTGTGTTATCAAAATTTCCTTTTATCAATATTCCATCTCCAGCATGTGGAATGTTTCTTTACAGTCTGCTTGGATTATCCATACAAAATGTATATATGATATACAGTACTTACTTACTTACTTACTCATGGAGCCGAGCCCTTCTGGAGGAGTCGCAAATTCTGCAGCTACTCAAGAATTTCCCAGCATTTTATGGAACCCAAAGGTTCATTACTGTGTTCACAAGACCCCTCCACCGGTCCCTATTCTGAGCCAGACCCATCCAATCCATACCATCCCATCCTGTCTCTCTAAGATCCATTCTAATATTGTCCACCCATCTATGGCTTGGTCTTCCCTGTGGTCTCTTTCCTTCTGGCTTTCCCACCAATATCCTATACGCATTCCTTGTGTCCCCAATTCATGCTACATGCCCTGCCCACATCCTCCTTGACTTGATCATTCTACTTGGAGAAGAGTACAAGTTATGAAGCTCCTCATTATGCAATTTTCTCCAAACTCCTGTCACTTCATGTATAAATGATATAAGAAATAATTTCCATTACATTTGTTTCTTACTCTTTAAATTATATTTTTTCATCTGAATACATTGAACAGGATTGAAAGAGAGTATAACTGTATGCAGAAGTGGGTGTGGTCCATTTTAAGGTACTATCTCTATATTTACCAAGAGAAACTGAGAAAAATCATGAGAAGTCAGGAAGGCCTGAACCTCTCTCAAACATGGTCTTCTATCATGTTACAGAATCATCAAGTTGTTCAGAGCAGGATCAGATAGTGTTTCTGACATATCACAGTATGGAGTTAAAGAACCAAATTCCAAAGAAATGTACCTGAATAAGAAGCTGTACGAGAAGCACCACTACTATCACACTGCCAGTGCACCACAGCAGAGTTTGCAGTCTCATTTGCAATAAGCATCCCATAGTATCAAGCACACTATATCCCACGTTCCTTATATCACAGATACAAATACAGCGGTGGCGCTGATCTGGTCAGCAGGAAATACATCTGCTGTCACATGACTGTAGCAACTACTGATAATGAATATCAGGAACCTACAAGATAATCCATTACACAGATTACGAGCGTCTCTTCACCAACCGTTATGAAAGCTTCTTCCTTGGGGCTCTGCTTCATGTGCTCACAATCCAATCCTAACATTCAATACTGAAAAAATACAAAATACAGGTTTCAAGATCTAAATATACATTTCTTTCATGAAAATGATGACAGTTTATAACTGTGAGAATACTTCTGGCAGATCCATCAGATCCATCTACTGGCAGAATTGCTGCTGCTGCTACTACTACTACTACTACTACTACTACTACTAGCATCCAAAGATTTATACATGAATATTTGAATTGTGGTACCATTTGTGTGCATGTATGTCTGTCCAATCATCCTACCCTAGTAACTTCTGAACAAAATTAACAGATTTTCATGAAAGCTACAATATATAAAATCAAATCTGAGGCCGTTTAATCTTTTTATTTTTTAATTCCTTACCAATGATGGCATGATGGCCTTTTAATAGTAAGCACTTTAAGCAATAAAATCTAATATATATATAGAAAACTTTGTTGAGGTTAGCTTTTGTACTATATAAAATATCATGCTGCATTTATTTAGTTCCCTGTTTGATACCAGTAAATAACAATCCTTGAAAAGTAGTATGGAGACAGATCATAAACCCAGCTAAAAACTTTCTATAAACAATTGTTCTGTTACAAGTTACACTGTTTTTTAACAAAGTTCATGTGACACACAAAAAACACTAAATTGTACAAACATGAATTTATAATTCATGCTAGCCTTTCTATATACAGTACAATCTTGGTAATCTGACATATATTGGACCAAGGTACTTCCGGATTATTGAGAACGATGGATTACTGGAAAAAGTCAGAACAAATTTCTCTATTTTCCCTGATATCATATATTGTAGCACGTCCAACACCATACACTGCAGCCAAATTAATAAGTGTTTCATCTTTGTCAAGTTTCTACTAGTGAGGGTCTAAATAAATCAGTTTGTCAAGTCAGCTTCTGCTGCCTGTAGAAACCTACACAAGGTCGCAGATGCCTGTCGGGCGCCTGATGTCAGATTACTGGACATGTCGGACTAGTGAGTGGCCAGATTGCCAAGACTATATTGTATATGGAAACATTTAGAATAATTAGGTTTCATTCTTTTAATATTCTCACTTAAGTTCATGTTTGTTATTTAATGATGCTGTCAGTAGTGAGAATACATGGCATTAAGATCTTATTTTTACACAAATTCGAAAATCAGGTTCTACAGAAATACACATACAAAGGTAAAAGCGAAGTTGCAATTGTACTTAGCCATTACACTTTGAAGACATATAGTGGTGTGGCCATAAAGCTATACACACTCTATACTTGGGCACATAAGAGAGATGAGTGATCTAACTGCTGTTCCTGACTTTAATTACAGGGAAAGATCCCCCATAATACAATGAATATGAGGCCGGATGGGCTTTAGAGTAAGTCTTGATGTGGTGGCAAAGAAACTTTTCTATAGCTCTTCTGCAAACTGAATCTCAGTCATCCGGCCCAAAGCCAGTCATAAATTCAGTGAGAACAACTGTTATCTTCACTGAATTTTCACTACATGGAGTTTGGGTACCTAACTTCATTATATGTCTTGAAGGCTAAAGAGTATAATTCTACAATTACAAAAGACAAGTCGGTCCAATGTGACTATTTCAGTTTTCTCACTTGATGATTCACTAGCCTTACATGTTTCGATCCATTTGGATCATCTGCAGAGGCACCACTAAAAAATGTCTGGTGCCTCTAAAGATGATCCAAATGGATCGAAACATGTAAGGCTAGTGAACCATCAAGTGAGAAAACTGAAATAGTCACATTGGACGGACTTGTCTTTTGTAATTGTAACTGTTAGTGTGACTGACCAAAATGAAACAAATTAAAGTATAATTCTATTCCCAGATATTGTTGAATTCCATGGAGAATAAACTAGAGTATTTCCAGTTAGTAATTTAATCTTCAGTGTGAATTTCTCTAAGTTAGGAAGTTCAGAATAACACAGACTACTCGAAGTACTCACATTTATTCTACAATTAAAACTTTTATACACGCAATAATGCATACTGCAAACAGGTTTCCTATCGCTATTATACTGCAACTTTACTGTTTCAACATAGCACACAAGACAAGGGTTACTGTCAGCTGAAATAAATATTCCCTGCATTTAAATGATGACAGCTTAAAACAAATATCACAGCAAACACAATTCACTGCGCGAGAACTGCCTCAACTATTCCTACAACAGCCGAAGGCTAAGACAACAACAAAATCCGTCATATCAGTCATTAGCAGATATCTTATTTAACAGTTCAAAACCGAATGTAAAATAACCTACTGATACACTTTAAATAAAGTAATACTTGAAAATACACATATTTCGAGATAAGTTACCATTTATGATAGCTCAAAACAAGGTTAACGTAACCTCAACTTCTTGCTTATCCAAAAATAGCACACTGTCCCCGTTCAGATCGTTCAGATTATATACTGCACATGGCTTTATTGGCAATACACATCGAATTTCGATTTCCACGAATTAAATATAGTGACTAGCCACACCGCATAAGAAAGCTACGAGCATCCACTGGTATACCAGCTGGAGAGGTTATTCACCACCTTCACCACAGTTTAACTGAAGAGCACATAAAATTACTTCGGTTCAATGAAGTGATACTGTGGTTTCGCGACGTTTCAGTCCAGTCCTGTCTTTAGCCCT